TGCTTGCTTAAAAGACTCAGGTCACAATGTTTTTTTATTAAACAATATGCCACATTACCTCTTACTAGTAATACATGTATTGTTTTAGAAACAGTACAAAGCATGCTTATCGTTTTTTGTGTGCTTTGTTAGTGTAATCTTTGAGTAAAAAAAATATATTGAAATCTACCTGCCACAGTGGCTGGTGGACCAAAAAGTTAATTTTATGTCCTGCATTCAAAATTATGTTTTCTTTTAACTGTACACATAACTCACTGTTCTCTCTCCTCTGCTGTCTTTGAGGTGTGACTGACAATACAAACTAAATCCACTGATTTGAACGCACAGTATGCCAGCCATGGGCTACATAACAGCATGCCACTCCACACTGGACTACACACTTTCTGTGTGCCAGGAATACATAATATGTGTCCCAGAGGGCACTCTATTCACTACTTTTGACCAGGACCCATTGGGAATAGGGTACCTTTTGGGCTAGAACCATAGATTGGCTACTCAACACTTGATGACACTCTGTGCCAGTATGTTATGCAGCCTATGCTGATTTATAGGATGATGATCCTGAGTAGCAGCAGGATGATGAATCTAGGCTGCAGATCTAATTGGTTAACTTTGAGGTTCAGCATCCTTTAATCCTTTATGACTCATTGTTTCTGGGCTGTGTTTATGGAACTGTCAGGCATGGCTTTTACTCTGTGACACTGGTCCTGGAATCAACCATCAGCACCACAGACTGACTGGCTCTATGATGAGTAGTCTCACGTTAAAGTGTCTGCTGCTGACTAATTGACTGATAAAGTGTCACATTCTTATATAAGTAGTCTATCACTTGACCAGGCTGCCAAGAGCATCAGACAGACTGGCTCTATGATAAATTGTCATATGTTTCAGTTTCTCAGGCTTACCTGGATGTCATCTGATAAACTGTGTAGTGTGGTGTCTGTGTAGTGTGGTGTCTGTATAGTGTCTGCATAGTGTGGTGTCTGCATAGTAGGGTGTCTAGGCCTCCTGTAGCTCAGTTGGTAGAGCATGGCGCTTGCAACACCAGGGTTGTGGGTTTGTTTCCCACGGGGGGCCAGTATGAAAATGTATGCACTCACTAACTGTAAGTCGCTCTGGATAAGAGCGTCTGCTAAATGACTAAAATGTAAATGTAAGTAAAACTATATTGCATTTGGGGACAGATTTCAAATATTTGCTTTGGTGTATATAAAATGTACCAGAGAGAATGAAGAAATGAACAACTAATTCGGTCATTTCATTTTCATTTGAATAATAACATATTACATCTTTCATTGTAAATACATGGGTCTTATTAATTAAATGAAAAATGTAATTACTTAACTCTCTCCAAAATAACTTCACAGAGTCACACTCATAAAAAATGTGTATAATATTTTCCCCTTCTTTATCACAGAAAAGGCATATGTCCTCTAAATCCATGAATTTAGACAACAATTTATTGCAAGGGTATATTTTGTGCAAGATTTTAAAGTTAATTTATTTTACTTTATTTGATATACACAATTTGTGAGGGAGAAACCAAGCTTTTTCCCATTCAATTTCAGTAATATATGCATTCCAGAAGAATTTCCCTCTAGGAGAGGTCTTGTTCTTGGAGTTAAAAAGTTATCTTAAGAACGTATTATTACATTTCTTATCCAGCAGGGGGCAACCTTCTAACATAAATTGTACATCTATCTTGATATGTTCTCCAAACACAAATGAGATTTCATTAATTGAGTAAATCCTGAAGGCAGTGCTTTGCATATAATTAAATTATTTATAATGTATTGGGAAGTTCTATGTTTCAAATAACTTTCTATAAGAGAGTATGTTTCCTTCTTTATCAAATAAATCAAGCACAAATATAATATTTCTTTCAAACCACTTAGGGAAGAACAAAGAGTTGTTTTTAACAACAATATCTTTGTGTGGGGAGAAGTTGTGGACATAACAAAGTTTCCAGGCTAAAAGGGCTTGTTCATTAAATTTGGACAGTTTGATGGGTAATTTTGCTGGAGAATAGTTGCACTTCCATAAAAAATGAAGACCACTCAATTTCATGAAAAATATGACAGGGAATGAAGTACCATATAGATTCAGAGCTAAGCATACATCTTTGTATCCAATTTACTTTAAAGGTATTGTTGATATCAATGAAATCTAGTACTTCAAGCCCACCATCAGGTCTTTGGTTTGATATTACAGACTTCTTAAGTTTGTGTTGTTTATTTTTCCATATAAAGTCTAAGAAAGTTTTGTTGATAATCTCTGAGAGAAATTGAGATGTTGACGGACAATATGTTTTTTCGCCATTGTAGGCTAGCTAAGATCTTGCGTAGAAACACGTCACCTCGGGGTAACGGTCGTCTCGCGCTGAACTGCGCATGTGCATGCGTCAAATGGCACTCCTTCGATATAAAATAGTATTTGACAAAACTGAAAACGTATCAGTTTCTCACTTTCACGAAATTGTAGTAAAAATATGTTCAACTACTTATGACATTGGCTTGAATCTAGGTTGTGCCATTAGATTTTCAGAAAATTAACAACTAAGGAAGAATTTTTCACTTCTCTCATTGACTCCTCAAACTCTAAACCCCGGCCTTTTCAGTTTCGTCTGTTTCGCAAGCGTTCCCGGAAGTCTTGCAATGTTGCGCCTCTGCGTTTAGAAACTTTGTGTTAACGTGATCGCCCACACACTCCCGCAAAGTAGGTGGCGGCATGCACAACAAATGTGCGAACGCCACGATCCCAAAGAAGAAGAAGAAAATATGTTTCTAGCCGGACACGTTTTTAATTTACACCTGTTTGAGCGTTCTTTATACCTCAGTGTGAGCGCAGGCTTGTCGCTAACAAACTTCAAATGTAGTTCCCCCCTCATTTCTTTATGAAAAAGTACTCTGGATAAGGATATTATTTTTGAAGTATGCAGCCACCTTATGACTGATCCATGAACACAAAACCATTAAACTGATGTTAGATTTTCATCCGAGCCACAATTAGCTTCACGCCCACAAGGACCTAGCTATCACGCTGACTACCCTCACTTGTCCACAGTGCTCAGTAACCAATGAAATGTGTGATGCATTGGGCGTGCTACCAGATAGCGTTGTGGGTATTTGAAAAATCTGACTTTTATCATTAACGTAGCCAATAATGTAGATGTTTTTTCGGAAGAAAAATTATAAAAACGTTTTGTCAGTGTTTTAATCTGTGAAATGCTCAGATTTGGTGTTATCACCATGAATGAAAAGAGTATGCTCGTGGTACAAGATCTGTTGCGAATGAAGTTGATAGGCAAAACTATACTCTCAGGGATGGTTTCTGTAGTTTTTGACTTGAGAAGTGTGGTTCTAAAGTGTTTGGTTACACTGTCCACAATGGCGTGATTTGACACTCCTTTCTGAGCGCGAAGCGGGCAAAGGTTGAAGAATGTACTCTTCCTACCTCTGCTTTTGATGCCCGTTCTGTATCTCTTCTGGGGACATGGAGGAAGGGAGTATGATCAGAGCAGAAGCCTTATATATTTGTGAAAGTCATATAGAAAAAACACTTTATTGACAAAATATGAGACTCAAATAATGGTCTAGTCCTACAACAAAAGCTTGTATAGCCTATAGTGTATTCGTAACTACATCTATTGAGCAAAAGAGGCGGCGTTTTACGCCACCTGCCAAGTGCACCCGCTAGACCAGAAGCGGTTCAACTCGTGCATGTGCTGCCTGCGCTCGCTTACCGACTGGAGTCTGGAGAAGTATTCAGAACTGCATGTCCTTGAGTCAGAGATTGACGTGAGAAATCGGGAGGAGAAGTTAATACTTTTTTTAGGATCCACAGCAGCATTAGGCTATTCATTCTGACTAGCGCAAGGATTCTACATTCACCACCGGACCATGACAGAGGATTTAAACATTTAAAATGCATTTGAAAATGTAGAAGAAGACTGCTGGCAGACGACTGGTCCAAAGCGGCACTATTCATCCCAAGCCGTGAGTCAGGACTTTTTGTCCGGAATGGAAATGTTGCCAATGCTCAAAGAGAGTATCGTCGTAAAGCCTTGATGATCTGTGCTGAACTCACCCTATCCGTGAAAACATGAAACATAAATAATGTTTAACATTGCTACATATAGAGGAACGTCCAGGTCATTCGCTAATAATTTAGAGGATTTTGATTCCATACGCAGTGTGCTTCTATACAGGTCAGTATATTGATACTTGCTATGCTATGGCAATGACGAAGGGAGTTTATATGAAAATGTATTGTAGACGTTTTGGTAAACTATTTGCACTTTCTTTGTGTTCCTTCTCGCATTCATTGCACTTTTGTTTGACTGTTGTTGCTTTGTCCAAAGTCCAAAGCACTCTGAATGCCATAGGGGATTTAAAGACCTCGTGCAGTTCGTGAGGAGAGGGAGGGGGCGAACTAAACATAAGTGGTGCTCATGCCCATCTATTCAGAGGGAGATAGCTTGTTAAAATGTTGCAATATTTAGATTTGGCTGCGTTTGTGATTTTATTAGAAAGAAATGTGTCTCAAATTTGCAGAGTATCTCATATTTCCAGAGTGTTTCAGACAATTTCTTATGTTGTTTGCTTAGTTTAGGCATAGTCAAGAATATGTACCTAATACTAGTTTACTTTTTTGTTACTATCAAAGTTGTTGCATTGAAACATTTATTCAGTCAACCTCTTTTTATTGCACGTGTATTAGCGGCTAGATGGGGCACGGGTGATGCTGTGTCCCTACTCCCTTGTCTGTTTTCTATCCTGCAAACGGAAAGCTTCCATGTTGTCAGGGAAACGTGAACATCAGCCAACCACACTGAGACATTTTGCGTCACGTGGCATAGTTGAAGAGCCCGTATGCAGAAAACATGGCGAGAGACTGCGGATGCTCACAAAGACAAAGTAGCAAGTAGCTAAAACATATTATCTTAAAGTTTAGAGTTTTGACTGGTATCATCTTGTCGAACACATTTAATGAATGGAATGATGGCTACTAAAGATTCTTGCGGGACGCTCGAGACGCATGCAGCTGTGCGTAAGCACCCGATACGGGAGGTCGACGACAGGGAGGAACTGCATGAATACGGGAATGATAGTGAATCAACATCATCAAGTTACAGTCAGTCCGACTACTCCGAGTAAGATAACCCTGTACATTATTGCATGTTGCTTCCGAAGAGAAAGAAAAACCTATTTTTGAGAGGGCTAACGTTATGGTATTAAAGGGCTGCCTGACTGTTTGCGACCTCCGCTGTCTAGCTGTCTTTATCAGTTGCCACCTCAACTTTATAACTTGACAACCGAGGCAGCTCACTGGAAGCGACTGGGCAGGTGAAGCAGGATGCACACTCACTGTAAAGTGGTCTAGTGGTGGCTTACTGGCTACTGTTATTCTTCACCTATGTGTGGACAGTGATCGATGCATGGTTTTGCTGTATCAACATCTGTTTCATAACATCCAAACTCTTTTTATGTGAAACTCTTTTTATGTGTTCATAAAGCTTATGGCATGCGTTATTATTATAAAGGCAAGGTAGGCCTATGCTATGTTCACCCAACAAAGTCTGTTTAGTATATTGATTCTATGAGATTAGTTTAAAAGTTTATAAATATAATTTATTAAATTTCTATAGCGCTTTTCATAGAATCTCAAAGTGCTTCAAGAGCCAAAAAGAAACAAGTAATATATCATGACAGGGCAACCAATAGAGATCAAGTCTTTGAAAGCTGCATCCTCCGAAGATGGAGAAGTCAGTTCATGTCTTAAGTGGAGAGAGCTGGTTAGAGGATGCTAGATGATGGAGTCTGCTGATGATCTTGTAGAGGGCAAGTCTGGGAACCAGCCTGACTCTTATAGACACTGGACTTCTCTCTTCCACTCTGTGTAGCACCCACTTGGGTGATGCCTCCGTAGCTCTGGGTACCAGAAAGGTCACCACACAAAGTTCAGAATAGTAGCCAGTTGTCCTCACTACGAGCCCTCTGCCTCACCACTGCTGTAGTCCTCTATCTCCCATTCCTCTCATGCTTCAGGTTCTCTTCCAAACAAAAACATTAACTAGCTAACTAGCTAACTAGCTAGCCAAGCCAAAAAGTGTTAAATCCGTGGCTCAAAAACACCAGATACTGTATTTACAATAAAAACGTATGTTCTCAAAAATAAAAGAGCTGATTAAAAATCAATAATTAAAAACACCAACAAAATAGCTAAATATGTAGCTACACATTTACAGGAGGTCTGTGCTTAGGCTGCTACTAGGGCGCCATGGCAACTATTTATTTGTATTTGTATGTTTTTATTGTTGTCTGGCCGTCTTGTTGACTTGATGACTGTCCATTGTTTGCCTCTAGTCTACCAATTCCAAGCAATCCAAATACCTTCAGTTTAAATGTTGTGTTCACCGTATCCAAAAAGCCTCTCAGAGTATGAGTACTGATGTAGGATCAGTTTAGCCTTTTAGATCATCATGAATAACATTATATGGACTGATTGGGACCTGATCCTAGATTAGTACTCCTACTCTGAGATGTTTTGAGGATAAGGGATCAGAGCTCAATCTGCACTGCAGCACTGGTATGGACAGATAACTATCTCTGCTATCTTATCTGGCCATATCACCTTTCAAAGAAGGTCGTCATCTTTACTCAATTAAAGTAGAACTCAACTGTAAGCCATGGAATGCGTCCAAATGGCACCCTTTTCCCTAGAGTCCTATGTGCCCTGGTCAAAAGTAGTGCACTATATAGTGAATAGGGTGCCATTGGGGACACAGGCTTTGTATTGAAACAGAAAAGATGGATGAGGCAAAAGCAAAAGGAACAATCAGTGTAGTTGCGCTATTCTGGGCATAGTATACTACTCTCCCCTCTTTTTTCTATCAAAGTTTTGGGAAATGTATTTTTCCAATTTGGAAACTTAACCTTCATAAACAATTATATGGTATTCACCATCCTTAGTGAATTTATGGATGTGTTTTCCAAGAGTCTACCACAGAGGCAGCACAGCTTAGTTTAGAAGGAGACCGACCGACATAATTTTTTATATTTTTTTGCAGAGTTAGGGCATTTTGTCTCTCGGGGCGGGGGTGTGGGTTTAGCTCTTTCTCGTCTCTGCTTGTCTCAAAAAATGCAATTTCTAGTCTTTCTTCAGCCGTGTGGTTTTCTTTCTCCCCCCAAATGCCACACGATAAATTAGAACAGAAAAGCACTCCACTGGGAATGAGTAAGATAGAGGATTAGGGGATAATAAAACGTCATGTAAATGTAGCTGTTGTGAAGTATTATTAAATGAAAACAGCATTGTATGCCATAAACCTTTACACCTGTAGCCTACATGATGGTTGTCCTATTACACATCTGCCTTTCAGTCATCACTCTCTCCTTGACTGTAGTTATACACTGACCCAGAACAGAATACAAGATGGGCTATCATACTTTTGGGCTGTTTGACAGAGTTTCACTTGTTACACAGTAGTATAATTGCGTTACTAACCCGTTTGAATAGCATCATACAAGATTCATGTTTAGATGGGGATTGAGGGCTAATCAGACAAATTGTGATGAAAGCCAATATGCTCTAAATTAATGACAATATATGCACTTTTAATCCTCAAGCGAGCCTTATGTCTCTACACTGTAGTTCTTGCCAAATTAACCTGACAATCCCTATCTGATGGGTTCAGTGGGCAGGCAAACCATCACTTTTGGCTCTGCTCTCAAACATTTTCACCCACTTTATGCTTTTTGTCTGTTCATTTCCAGTGACCTAGAGCCAGAATGGCTGGACGACGTCCAGAAGAACGGCGAGCTCTTCTACCTGGAGCTGAGCGAGGGCGAGGAGGAGGCGGCATTAGCTCAGGCCGCCGCCAATCACGGCCTCTCCACCAATCACGTGCGCTTCAGCGAGAAGGAGGCGGAGATCATCAGCGAGGAGTGCAGGAAGCATCCTGATGGCGCTCCAACCAAAGGAGAGCCCAAGCTGAAAAGACTGGCCAGGATCCTACGGAGGAAGAGGCGGCCATCCCTGCGCAGTGAGCCCGACGGAGGAGCCAAAGACTCGTCATCGCTTCCGGCATCCATCTTGAAAAACCAGGCGGGGCAGAGGGCGGGGCTGGTGGTCCAGCAGCAGCAGCTGACGGAGGTGTGTGTCTACCTGAACCCCAAACGACTGGGCAGCTGCTCCCCTCCTCCCCTGGAGAGAGGGGGTCTACTGGAGGCTCTGCTGGGGGTGGTGCATCGCCCGTCCTGGGGCAGGGGCCAGGGAGACCCTACAGGGAGAAGGGGGGAGAAGATCACCATCCACGGCCTGGTGCCCAACAGCCCCGCCATCAAGTGTGCACAGATACTGATCGGTGAGTGTTCAAAAACTCACTGTGGGGACGTCAGAAATGGCACCGTATTCCCTATATAGCCAACTCATTTTGACCATAATCGCCCTGGTCAAAAGTAGTGCACTTTAAAGGGAATAAGGGTGCCATTTCAGACGCACCCAATGTGTCTGTCATATACACATTGCTTGACCTTTGGATGGGCACTGGCAGAAATCCCAGCAAGACTGCAAGAAACAATTTTATTGACATAATTGACATGATATTAACTACTTATAAAGTTGTGTTTTACAGCAAATCGTTTCTTATGTTTGTGGAGACTGACGTCGACACAGTTGTTGTGGGCAGACCAAGGAATGCGAAGAAACTCCACATGAGTTAGTGTTTAAAGCCATGCCTTTCATGTAGCCTACCACTCCATGCTAAAACAATTAGCCTAGACTCGTTAAATACCTGAAACAATTGAGGTGAAGTCTTTGTTAGGGAGATAGGAATGAATAGAAGTCTGCACAGGGGCAGGTGAAACTCCTTGATATACAAAAAGAAACAACAGCACATTTGGCTATTTCTATATCCTTGGACTATATCTCTAGACTGTGCTCCTCTACAAAACCATACTATTTGTAAAACAGATAACACAATACTTTTTTGCCGTACCAACCAAAGTTGTTAGGAATTCGACTTAATGCAGCTCATTAAAAACGGGGATGAAAAGATACACGCATACAAACATTCATTTGCATAGCCTACAGTACAGACTCAATTGAGTACGTTTGCAGAAATATAACTATTTACGCTTATTGTTGTTATCTACGTTAACATGCTGCTGTTATCCATTGACTTCCTCCTCCTCCTCCCCAGGTGATGACCTAGTAGCAGTGGATGATGTGGATGTTACCACAGAGAACATTGAGAGGGTTCTCTCCTGCATTCCTGGGCCTACACAGGTGTGTGTTTGCTTGTGTGTGTGTGTGTGTGTGTGTGTGTGTGTGTTTGTGTGTGTGTGTGTGTGTTTCCAAGACCACCCACCCCACTCCTTACTGCCGTATTAAAAGAACAGTAGTTAGAGAGAAGTATGCACTGTTGTGTGTTGTATTCGAGGTAAGTGTATTATTACGAGTTGTAATACTGCTTTCACATGTGAAAGTATGCCAAAGACCTCCAACAGATTAGATGTTGTTTGTTGAGCCCTATTCACATTAATTGAGCTCCATGATCATGTATCTTTCTCAGCTCTTGGTTTTCTACATTAAGAGTTCATTTTCTTCATGAAGAGACCCCATAAAACACACACGTCTCTGTGTCCCAAATGGCACCCGGCGCCGATCAAAAGTAGTGTACTATGTAGGGATTAGAGTGCCATTTAGGGACGTAGCCTCTGAAACAGCAACAGCAGCCAAAGAAAGGGAAGTCCTTCACATTAACTCAATTACAGACAAACTCCTTTTTTCTAACCAACACGTCTGCTCTGCTCAAATGTGTTAGAAGCTGGTTTCTACACACTCAAGGCAGGCAGGTGCACATAAGGCAGACACACACACACTAAGACGCAAGGCAGACACGCAAGGCAGACCAAGACTGTGTGTCAGGATCATTCCACTGCCCCACACGTTAAAAGTGAGGTCTAGGATGCCACTGCACCGTGTTAGCATAAACCCAATGGATGCTATAGCTCTGACCAAAGTCACACATTCATAAGGCTAGAATGCCTTGAGATGGCCTGATTCAGAGCTGAGATAAAAGTGAAGTAAATCATTAATTGACCTCAATGAGAGACATGCATGAAATTTTCTGTCACTTTTCTACACACAATACCCCATAATGTCAAAGTGGAATATGTTTTTAGAAATGTTTACAAATTAATAAAAAATGAAAAGCTGAAATGTCTTGAGTCAATAAGTATTCAACCACTTTGTTATGGCAAGCCTAAATAAGTTCAGGCGTAGAAATGTGCTTAACAAGTCACATAATACACTGCTCAAAAAAATAAAGGGAACACTAAAATAACACATCCTAGATCTGAATGAATGAAATAATCTTATTAAATACTTTTTTCTTTACATAGTTGAATGTGCTGACAACAAAATAACACAAAAATTATCAATGGAAATCAAATTTATCAACCCATGGAGGTCTGGATTTGGAGTCACCCTCAAAATTAAAGTGGAAAACCACACTACAGGCTGATCCAACTTTGATGTAATGTCCTTAAAACAAGTCAAAATGAGGCTCAGTAGTGTGTGTGTGGCCTCCACGTGCCTGTATGACCTCCCTACAACGCATGGGCATGCTCCTGATGAGGTGGCGGATGGTCTCCTGAGGGATCTCCTCCCAGACCTGGACTAAAGCATCCGCCAACTCCTGGACAGTCTGTGGTGCAACGTGGCGTTGGTGGATGGAGCGAGACATGATGTCCCAGATGTGCTCAATTGGATTCAGGTCTGGGGAACGGGCGGGCCAGTCCATAGCATCAATGCCTTCCTCTTGCAGGAACTGCTGACACACTCCAGCCACATGAGGTCTAGCATTGTCTTGCATTAGGAGGAACCCAGGGCCAACCACACCAGCATATGGTCTCACAAGGGGTCTGAGGATCTCATCTCGGTACCTAATGGCAGTCAGGCTACCTCTGGCGAGCACATGGAGGGCTGTGCGGCCCTCCAAAGAAATGCCACCCCACACCATGACTGACCCACCGCCAAACCGGTCATGCTGGAGAATGTTGCAGGCAGCAGAACGTTCTCCACGGCGTCTCCAGACTCTGTCACGTCTGCTTTCATCTGTGAAGAGCATAGGGCGCCAATGGCGAATTTGCCAATCTTGGTGTTCTCTGGCAAATGCCAAACGTCCTGCACGGTGTTGGGCTGTAAGCACAACCCCCACCTGTGGACGTCGGGCCCTCATACTGTTTCTGACCGTTTGAGCAGACACATGCACATTTGTGGCCTGCTGGAGGTCATTTTGCAGGGCTCTGGCAGTGCTCCTCCTGCTCCTCCTTGCACAAAGGCGGAGGTAGCAGTCCTGCTGCTGGGTTGTTGCCCTCCTACGGCCTCCTCCACGTCTCCTGATGTACTGGCCTGTCTCCTGGTAGCGCCTCCATGCTCTGGACACTACGCTGACAGACACAGCAAACCTTCTTGCCACAGCTCACATTGATGTGCCATCCTGGATGAGCTGCACTACCTGAGCCACTTGTGTGGGTTGTAGACTCCGTCTCATGCTACCACTAGAGTGAAAGCACCGCCAGCATTCAAAAGTGACCAAAACATCAGCCAGGAAGCATAGGAACTGAGAAGTGGTCTGTGGTCACCACCTGCAAAACCAGTCCTTTATTGGGGGTGTCTTGCTAATTGCCTATAATTAACACCTGTTGTCTATTCCATTTGCACAACAGCATGTGAAATTTATTGTCAATCAGTGTTGCTTCCTAAGTGGACAGTTTGATTTAACAGAAGTGTGATTGACTTGGAGTACATTGTGTTGTTTAAGTGTTCCCTTTATTTTTTTGAGCAGTGTAAGTTGCATGGACTCACTCTGCGTGCAATAATAGTGTCTAACATGACAGACATTGAATATCCCTTTGAGCATGGTGAAGTTATTAATTACACTTTGGATGGTGTATCAATCTACCCAGTCACTACAAAGATACAGGCGTCCTTCCTAACTCAGTTGCCGGAGAGGAAGGAAACCGCTCAGGGATTTTACCATGAGGCCAATGGTGACTTTAACACAGTTACAGAGTTTAATGGCTGTTATATGAGAAAACTGAGGATGGATCAACAACATTGTAGTTAGTCCACAATACTAAACTAAATTACAGAGTGAAAAGAAGGAAGCCTGAACAGAATACAAATATTCCAAAACATGCATCCTGTTTGCAGTAAGGCACTAAAGTAAAACTGCTAAAAAATTGGCAAATAAATTAACTTTATGTCCTGAATACAAAGTGTTATGTTTGGGGCAAATCCAACACAACACAACACTGAGTACCATTCTTCATATTTTCAAGCATGGTGGTGGCTGCATCATGTTATGGGTATGCTTGTCATCGGCAAGGGATTTTTTTAAATAAAAAGAAGCGGAATACATCTAAGCACAGGCAAAATCCTAGAGGAAAACCTGGTTCAGTCTGCTTTTCAACAGACACTGGGAGACAAATTCCCCTTTCAGCAGGACAATCAATAACATAAAACACAAGGCCAAATATACACTGGAGTTGCTTACCAAGACGACATTGAATGTACCTGAGTAGCCTAGTTACAATTTTGAATTAAATCGGCTTGAAAATCTCTGGCAAGACTTGAAAATGGCTGCCTAGAAATGATCAACAACCAACTTGACAGAGCTTTACTTTTTTATATTTTTTATTTGCAAATATTGTACAATCCAAGTGTGCAAAGCTCTTAGAGACTTTCCCAGAAAGACTCACAGCTGTAATGCCAAAGGTGATTCTAACATGTATTGACTCAGGTGGTTGAATACTTACAGTGGGGAGAACAAGTATTTGATACACTGCCGATTTTGCAGGTTTTCCTACTTACAAAGCATGTAGAGGTCTTTTATTTTTATCATAGGTACACTTCAACTGTGAGAGACTGAATCTAAAACAAAAATACAGAAAATCACATTGTATGATTTTTAATCCCTCTGCTCAAGCCAGCGCATGTCCAGGCCCGTCTGAAGTTTGCCAATGACCATCTGGATGATCCAGAGGAGGAATGGGAGAAGGTCATGTGGTCTGATGAGATAAAAATATAGCTTTTTGGTCTAAACTCCACTCGCCGTGTTTGGAGGAAGAAGAAGGATGAGTACAACCCCAAGAACACCATCCCAACCGTGAAGCATGGAGGTGGAAACATCATTCTTTGGGGATGCTTTTCTGCAAAGGGGACAGGACGACTGCACCGTATTGAGGGGAGGATGGATGGGGCCATGTATCGCGAGATCTTGGCCAACAACCTGCTTCCCTCAGTAAGAGCATTGAAGATGGGTCGTGGCTGGGTCTTCCAGCATGACAACGACCCGAAACACACAGCCAGGGCAACTAAGGAGTGGCTCCGTAAGAAGCATCTCAAGGTCCTGGAGTGGCCTAGCCAGTCTCCAGACCTGAACCCAATAGAAAATCTTTGGAGGGAGCTGAAAGACCGTATTGCCCAGCGACAGCCCCGAAACCTGAAGGATCTGGAGAAGGTCTGTATGGAGGAGTGGGCCAAAATCCCTGCTGCAGTGTGTGCAAACCTGGTCAAGACCTACAGGAAACATATGATCTCTGTAATTGCAAACAAAGGTTTCTGTACCAAATATTAAGTTCTGCTTTTCTGATGTATCAAATACTTATGTCATGCAATAAAATGCAAATTAATTACTTAAAAATCATACAATGTGATTTTTTTAAAAATTCCGTCTCTCACAGTTGAAGTGTACCTATGATAAAAATGACAGACTTCTACATGCTTTGTAAGTAGGAAAACCTGCAAAATCGGCAGTGTATCAAATACTTCTCCCCACTGTATGTAATCAAGATATGTTAGTGTTTTATTTTTCATAGTTTTCTTTACAAATGTTAGAATTTTTCTTCCACTTTGTCATTACAGAGTATTTTGTGTAGATTGTTGACAAAAAAAATGACAATTAAATTCATTTTTAATCCCACCTTGTAACACAACAAAATGTGGAAAAGGTTGAGGGGTGTGAATACTTTCTGAAGGCACTGTATCTATACTCTCAGTGTGTGTGACTGTTTTAGGAGTTTGATGTTTGTCCATATTTAATATGCTCCCTGGATACAGAAAGGCTTCTTTAAGTCTCTGTAAATCCATTGTAGGACGAATGGTTGAGTAGAATGGCGCTCACCACTGAATACAGACATCTTCTCCCATTCCGTTTGGCTTCGATCGGCTGTCAAAACGTATATAGCAGGTAACAATCTTCACCATTCTATATGAGGAAAACTGTCAAGTTCTGAGAAATGACGCTTTGATCGCCATTCAGAAAACCGCTCAAGCTTTTTCCTCATTCCTCTCCTCACACAGTCAAAACAGGGCCTCAAGAAGGTGGAATTTGTAATTGACAGTGTTGGCGGGAGTGATGGCGTTTGCAGACAGAGAGGGAGACAGAGGTAGAGAGAGCAAGAGAAGCCAGACTGCGGCGGGGGTTGTTTGGGATAACCACAGGAAAACGACCATTACGCTGCGGCCACTGAGAGTACAGCTGATTAGAAGACTCGGCCAGATAGCAAATTACACTGTAGAGAAGAGAGGAGGAAGAGAAAAGATGAGGAGAAAAAACAAGGCCTTGTCGGTCCGTCGTGGCTTACCATGCTACTGTAGAACTGGCATACTCAGAGGAAACTTCAACTTTGGTGGTGGTTCTCTCTGTGTGTGTGTGTGTGTGTGTGTGTGTGTGTGTGTGTGTGTGTGTGTGTGTGTGTGTGTGTGTGTGTGTGTGTGTCTGTCTGTGTGTGGCTTCGTGCGTGGCTGGCCGGCTGTATGTATGTGGGCACTTTTGTGTGTGTGAACGTCCGCCCTCCCAGGTAAAGCATGGTAGACAGTAGCTATTACATGGGCGTAGCAGCAGTTTGTATAAAGGTTTGGACCACCATGCCCTCTGCTTACCCTCATAGTATAGTATCATCAGTAGTACTTTACTCTCTCCCTCTCAATTCAATGGGGTTTATTGGCATGGGAAACATGAGTTTACATTGCCAAAGCAAGTGAAATAGACAATAAACAAAGGGGAAATAAACAGGGGAAAGAAACAATCAGAAATTAATAGTAAACATTACTCACAAAAGTTTCAATAGAATAGAGACATTTCAAATGTTATATTATTGGCTACGTACAGTGTTGTAACGATGTGCAAATAGTTGAAGTATGAAAGAGAAAATAAATAAACAGATAAATATAGGTTGTATTTACAATGTTGTTTGTGCTCCACTGGTTTCTTGTGGCAACGGGTCACAAATCTTGCTGCTGAGGTGGCACACTGTGGTATTTCACCTAATAGATATGGGAGTTGATCAAAATTAGATTATTTGTGGGTCTGTGGGAAATGTGTGTTTCTATTATGGTCATACATTTGGTGGGTGGTTAGAAAGTGCATCTCAATTTCCACCTCATTTTGTGGGCAGTGTGCACATAGCCTGTCTTCTCTTGAGAGCCAGGTCTGCCTATGGCATCCTCTCTCGATAGCAAGGCCATGCTCGCTGAGTCTGTACATAGTCAAAGCTTCTCTTAAGTTTGGGTCAGTCACAGTGATCAGGTATTCTGCTACTGTGTACTCTCTTTTTATTCATTGGAACAGACTTTCTGGTACACTTCTTTATTTAGTGTTGTTTATACTGTTCCAAATGGTCCGAAAAAATTATAGTATTGTAATCTAACAGCAACTGTTTGGCACATAATACTCACGCAGCGCTTGCTCCTATGCCCTCCTTTTTCTTGATCTCCAGTAGTTTCCACAACTAAGTCAAATGTCTTCCACACATCTGACTTCCCCTTTCCCTCCTGAGCAGCCAGTAAACATTCCCCTGTTTCAAGTTTCTTTTTCACATCCTCCCCATCCATTTTGCTGTCACGTGTTACTGTGTTCGGCGTTTGTTATAACCAATTTATTGATGTGATTATGATAGGCTATAGGTCAGGCCCTATTGGTCACATGCATGCGATGCTTACATGTTTCACGTAAAGAGAGCAAGGGTTGAGAGAATAGGGAATGTTTTTCCTAAACAAATTATGTCGCAGATACAGCATGGACAGTGCTATAAACAGTTGCTGTGCTGTGGTGCCTTTTGGCTGCAGTAGGGAGGAGAGAGAGACAACGTGTGCCAGTCACACAGGCATTAGCACAGTGCGACCGTTGGGCTCTTTCTTGAGTCATTTGTGTGTCTTCATTATTGAATCAAACAGTGTGCTTAAAGCATCAAACAAGCTCAGTGCATATGTAGTTGGTTTTATTCTAATGCATAGGGTGTGTGTCTATATATGGAAAAATATGTTTAAACATTTCGACCAATCAATTGGTCGAAAGAACAGGATGACTCTCGGTAGACAAGGATCTTTTTAGTCTGGGACAGCCCTACATTTTATAATGTAAAATTTTAGTCATTTAGCAGACGCTCTTATCCAGAGCGACTTACAGTTAGTGAGTGCATACATTATTTTATTTTTTTTTCATACTGGTCCCCCGTGGGAAATTAACCCACAACCCTGGCGTTGCAAACGCCATGCTCTACCAACTGAGTTACACGGGACTGCCCTAATATGGAGAATGACAGTTGAGTTGATCCATATGGTCCTTCAACACTCTTCAACACCCTCTAGTTGCTGAGAGGTTGATGAGAGGATAGTGTGGGCTTGTCCTCTGTTCTGGGTCATGTTCAGGATGACACACCGTAGCAAAACACTTTTCAACATAAACCAAAAATCTGTGTCCTCCATTAGACAGGCTGTGGTAGAACCGACCCGTTTCCAAATGTTTTCTCCCTGTTGAACACGACCCTGTTCTCTTCTGCTCTGGGACTCGAGAAGCAGTCAGACGTACTGTGAGAGTAAGTTACAGAATGTCAGCGGGACTTAGAGCGACTCACTCATCACTGTTAGGCCCTTCTAATAACAGGCTACTGTTCCCTGCAGAACCAAGATGGCGTCCGGCCAAGGACTGGCGCCTGCCCTGGTGCGGCTCAACAGTTTGTGTGTTTCTGCTGACAGCGTCTGGAGATGTTATGGCCTCACCCTAGAGTAATGGATTAATTTAAAACACGGGTGAAAAATACTATAAATAAATGCTTATTTAAAGCACGGATTGCTTAGTTAAAGCACGGACACACATACGCACGCTCTTGCTTAGTTAAAGCATGGATTGACCCGAGAGTGTGACTGTTTGAATCCCTGATGTTTGTTTGTTGCTGTTTCCATCTTCCCTGTGTGACCTGACCTGTCTGGAACTGCAAGGAGTAACAGCGTATTCTACGTTGCTACCATGACAAAGACCAATGCCGGTGGGAGTACCGTTGAGGACAGTGGTGTCTCTCTGTCACAGGTGAGGGATCTTTTAAACAAAAAAATTAGAGTTCTACAAGCAGTTGTTACAACAACAAGAAAATAGCTTCAAGTGTTGTGTCCAAATACTGGTGGAGTCAACTAATAAAATAATGGACGATCTGACCAGAGAGGTCCAGGACCTGAAGAACAGTTTGCAGTTCTCCCAGGGTCAGCTCGATGAGTTTAAACAGGAGAACAGCAAGATGACAGCAATCTGTAAGTCATTGAGAGAGGACATCAGTTCTGTGTGTGAATCCATGATAACAATGACGGAGAAATCAGATACTCGGGGACAAGTCAGTGTAAAAACATTTTTGTGGACAAATTGGCAATCTCCCCATGAGACCTACAGTCCTGAGGACAACGTGATGGAAATGATCACTGAAACTGAAGATGGACCACAGGAAGATTGAGGTGGATCACGCCCAGAGGACTGGAAACCCCACCACCGGCCAAGGTCCCGAGGTTCAAGGACAAGGTAGCTGTTCTGGAAAGAATCAAGAACTTGAGAGGAATGCAAATCTTCCCAGCCATGAAAGCTGCCAGAGCACGTGGGGCTTGGCTCATTGCTTACATCCGCTATGACAGGCTCATTGTCCACCATCCCTCCCAAAAGCCTAGAAGGGATGAGGGAGCCAAGCCTCACATACACACTTACACACACCAACTGATTGATGGACTGCTGAATGTTTTTTGTTGTTGTTGCTTTGTTTGTTATTTTCCATATTATGCATAGCTCTGATAAGCTACCCAGGAAAGGGCTAAACATAGCCCATATTAATATATGTAGCCTTAGAAATAAGGATAATGAAATCAATAACTTGTTAATGTCAGATAACATTAATATATTAGCCATTTCTGAGACTCACTTAGGTAATTCCTTTGATGATACAGCAGTAGCAATACAAGGATATAACATCTACAGAAGAGACAGTAATGCCTATGGGGGAGGTGTTGCTGTATATATTCAGAGCCATATCCCTGTAATGCTTAGAGAAGATCTCATGTCAAGTGTTATTGAAGTGTTGTGGTTACAGATTCACCTGCCTCATCTAACGGCTATTATTTTAGGGTGTTGCTATAGGCCACCTAGTGCTAACAGTCAGTATCTAGATAATGTAATATAATAATATGCCATTTAGCAGACGCTTTTATCCAAAGCGACTTACAGTCATGTGTGCATACATTTTTACGTATGGGTGGTCCCGGGGATCGAATCCACTACCCTGGCGTTACAAGCGCCATGCTCTACCAATTGAGCTACAGAGGACCACATAATGTGTGTGAAATGCTTGATAGTTTATGTGATATAAACAGAGAGGTTTACTTTCTTGGGGACCTGAATATTGACTGGTTTTCATCAAGCTGTCTGCTCAAGAGAAAGCTTCTCACTGTAACCAGTGCCTGTAATGTGGTTCAGGTTATTAATCAACCTACCAGGGTGTTTACAAACACTACAGGAACTATATCATCCAGATGTATTGATCACATTTTTACTAATACTGTAGTACTTTGTTCTAAAGCTGTGTCCGTACCCATTGGATGCAGTAATCCAGGAAAGCCATGGTTCCAAAAGCTGGGCCTAAAATAGTGTATAACAGATCATACAAAATATTTTGCTGTGACTCTTGTGGATGATGTTACAAATATTTGTTGGTCTGATGTGATTGATAAGGAGCATCCAGACGCTGCACTTGATGAATTTATGAAATTGCTTCTTCCAATTATTGATAAACATGCACCTGTTAAGAAATTGACTGTTAGAACTGTTAAGGCTCCATGGATTGATGAGGAATTTTAAAAGTGTATGGTTGAAAGAGATTGGTCAAAAGGAGTGGCTAATAAGTCTGGCTGCACATCTGACTTCTGAAAATTGATAGATTATGTGACCAAACTCAACAAAAAGAAGAAGAAACTCTATTATGAAGCCAAGATCAATGATATAAAGAATGGTGGAGTACTTAAATGAAATTATGGGCAAAAAGACGAATTCAGCTCCATCTTTCATCGAATCAGATGGCTTATTCATCACAAAACCACTTGATGTTGCCAATTATTTTAATGATTACTTCATTGGCAAAGTGGGCAAACTTAGGAAGGAAATGCCAGCAACGAACAGTGAGCCATTGTATTCATGCATAAAAAAAACAAATAATGAAAGAAAAGCATTGTAAGTTAGAATTTTGTAAAGTTTGTGTGGGAGAGGTGGAAAAAGTGTTATCAATCAATAATGACAAACCTCCTGGCATTGACAATTTAGATGGAAATCTACTGAGGATGGTAGCTGACTCTATAGCCACTCCTATCTGTCATATCTTTAATCTGAGCCTAGAGGATAAGTGTTTGTCCTCAGGCCTGGAGGGAAGCCAAAGTCATTCCGCTACCCAAGAATGGTAAAGTGGCCTTTACTGGTTCTAACAGCCGACCTATCAGCTTGCTGCCAGCTCTTAGCAAACTGTTGGATAAAATGGTGTTTGACCGAATAAATGCTATTTCTCTGTAAACAAATTAACAACAAACGTTCAGCATGCTTATAGAGAAGGGCACTCAACATGTACTGCACTGACACAAATGACTGATGATTGGTTGAAAGAAATTGATAACAAGAAGATTGTGGGAGCTGTAATGTTAGATTTCAGTGCAGCCTTTGATATTATTGACCATAACCTGTTGTTGAAAAAAGGTATGTTATGGCTTTTCAACATCTGCCATATCGTGGATTAAGAGCTACAATGGGGGAAAAAAGTATTTAGTCAGCCACCAATTGTGCAAGTTCTCCCACTTAAAAAGATGAGAGGCCTGTAATTTTCATCATAGGTACACGTCAACTATGACACAAAATGAGAAAGAAAAATCCAGAAAATCACATTGTAGTATTTTTTATGAATTTATTTGCAAATTATGGTGGAAAATAAGTATTTGGTCAATAACAAAAGTTTCTCAATACTTTGTTATATACCCTTTGTTGGCAATGACACAGGTCAAACGTTTTCTGTAAGTCTTCACAAGGTTTTCACACACTGTTGCTGGTATTTTGGCCCATTCCTCCATGCAGATCTCCTCTAGAGCAGTGATGTTTTGTGGCTGTCGCTGGGCAACACGGACTTTCAACTCCCTCCAAAGATTTTCTATGGGGTTGAGATCTGGAGACTGGCTAGGCCACTCCAGGACCTTGAAATGCTTCTTACGAAGCCACTCCTTCGTTGCCCGGGCGGTGTGTTTGGGATCATTGTCATGCTGAAAGACCCAGCCACGTTTCATCTTCAATGCCCTTGCTGATGGAAGGAGGTTTTCACTCAAAATCTCACGATACATGGCCCTATTCATTCTTTCCTTTCCACGGATCAGTCGTCCTGGTCCCTTTGCAGAAAAACAGCCCCAAAGCATGATGTTTCCACCCCCATGCTTCACAGTAGGTATGGTGTTCTTTGGATGCAACTCAGCATTCTTTGTCCTCCAAACACGACGAGTTGAGTTTTTACCAAAAAGTTATATTTTGGTTTCATCTGACCATATGACATTCTCCCAATCCTCTTCTGCATCATCCAAATGCACTCTAGCAAACTTCAGACGGGCCTGGACATGTACTGGCTTAAGCAGGGGGACACGTCTGGCACTGCAGGATTTGAGTCCCTGGTGGCGTAGTGTGTTACTGATGGTAGGCTTTGTTACTTTGGTCCCAGCTCTCTGCAGGTCATTCACTAGGTCCCCCCGTGTGGTTCTGGGATTTTTGCTCACCGTTCTTGTGATCATTTTGACCCCACGGGGTGAGATCTTGCACGGAGCCCCAGATCGAGGGAGATTATCAGTGGTCTTGTATGTCTTCCATTTCCTAATAATTGCTCCCACAGTTGAATTCTTCAAACCAAGCTGCTTACCTATTGCAGATTCAGTCTTCCCAGCCTGGTGCATGTCTACAATTTTGTTTCTGGTGTCCTTTGACAGCTCTTTGGTCTTGGCCATAGTGGAGTTTGGAGTGTGACTGTTTGAGGTTGTGGACAGGTGTCTTTTATACTGATAACAAGTTCAAACAGGTGCCATTAATACAGGTAACGAGTGGAGGACAGAGGAGCCTCTTAAAGAAGAAGTTACAGGTCTGTGAGAGCCAGAAATCTTGCTTGTTTGTAGGTGACCAAATACTTATTTTCCACCATAATTTGCAAATAAATTCATTAATTTATATATAATTATTTTTTTCTCAATTTGTCTCTCATAGTTGACGTGTACCTATGATGAAAATTACAGGCCTCTCTCATCTTTTTAAGTGGGAGAACTTGCACAATTGGTGGCTGACTAAATACTTTTTTCCCCCACTGTATCTATCTAATAGAACACAGAGGGTTTTCTTTAATGGAAGCTTCTCTAATGTTAAACATGTAAAGTGTGGTGTACCTTAGGGCAGCTCTCTAGGCCCTCTACTCTTTTCTATTTTTACCAATGACCTGCCACTGGCATTAAACAAAGCCTGTGTGGCCATGTATGCTGATGATTCATCCCTATAAACGTCAACAACCACAGTTAATGAAATCAATGCAACCCTAAACAAAGAGTTGCAGTCAGTTTTAGAATGGGTGGCCAGTAATAAACTGATCCTGAACATCTCTAAAACTAAGAGCATTGTATTTGGTACGAATCATTCCCTAAGTTCTAGACCTCAGCTGGTAATGAATGGTGTGGCTGTTGAGCAAGTTGAGGAGACTAAATTACGTGGTGTTACCTTAGATTGTAAACTGTTGTTGTTAAAAACATATTGATTCAATGGTTGTAACGATGGGCAGAGATCTGTCCATGATAAGAGATGCTCTGCTTTTTTGACACCAAACTCCACAAAGCAAGTCCTGCAGGCTTTAGTTTTGTCTTATCTTGATTATTGTCCAGTCATATGATCAAGTGCTGCAAAGAAAGACCTAGTTAAGCTGCAGCTGGCCAATAACTGAGCCGCACGTTTTGCTCTTCATTGTAATCAGAGGGCTGATATCAATACTACATTTTAGCAGACGCTCTTATACAGAGCGACTTACAGTAGTGAGTGCATACATTTTTGTACTGGTCCCACATGGGAATCGAACCCACAACACTGGCGTTGCAAGCGCCATGCTCTACCAGCTGAGACACACGGGAGGACTACTAGGTGACCTACTTTTTGTGTGTATGTACTGACATGTACGTGTAACTGATAAATGTATGCACACTACATGTTAATGTTTTTAAATGTATGTAAATTGAAAAGTATTTTATCTGTAATGTATTTTCCGTTATGTGTCGGACCCCAGTAAGACTAGCTGTCGCCATTGGCGTCGGCTAATGGGGATCCTAACAAAATAGAAAACAATACAAATCAAAGCGTTGGATTGGTGTAAGCATGGACTTTCTACCATATTTCTGACACCAGTCCATTCATTTGTACTCCATAAGGGCAGTGAACAGTTCTTGGAGAGGTAGAGAGTCAGACCGTTGCCAGTGTCACAGTGTTGAACACGAATCCACACACACATCTGGTCTCTGGTCCTGATTTGCCTTGATTAACGTCAACTAGAAATCCTTAGCAGACCTCTCAAGTGGTGACAGGTTACTGCCCAGAGCCAGCCCTGTGCGTATGCGCATCTCGTGTGTGTACACAATTATTTTTGGTATTTGTACAGTGTGTTTGAGTTTGAGGCTGCGCGTGTGTAGGCCATAGTATTTGGGGTCTTTTTGAAATGTGAGAATGACAGACATTAATATTAATCTGTAAATATGTCGAGCATGAATCTCTCCACCATACTGTTTCTGTGTGTTTCCATTTGTGTACCTGTCTGCCTGGGTTGGTTTGTAAAGTGTGTGTGTGTGTGTGTGTGTGTTATACAGTGTGAATGGCGATGCAGTGTGGAATAAGCTCTTCTGTCACTGTTCTGGGGCCTGCCTTGTGGTGGGATCTGTTTCTGATTCACTCACACGCACCCATGTCGCTTCACTTTCAGTGGTCAGGAGGAATATCCTCTCTCTCTCTCTCTCTCTCTCTCTCTCTCTCTCTCTCTTTCTCTGACAATCACATCACTGATGGCTCTGTATATGTGGTTTAACTGAACCCTTTCCTGTAGCACCAGGCCAAACCATGAAATGGGGAGCATATGAGTTACGCTGCAGCCCTAATGGACGGGATTAAATGCCGTTTATGACCATATTATGATCACAGTGTAGTTCCCCTGCTGATTCTGGCCAACAGGGATTCTTCAGACTCGTACAAACTCACTGCTAGCTTATGTTCTGCAGCCAAACCCACAATGGGCCTTTTTTTAAAGTGTTTCAAAAAGGAAAAACGATGTAGAATGTGGTGGAAAGATGATGATCTCTTCTCTTTCTTTCTTTCTCCCTCTTTCTTTCTTTTCCCCTCTCTTCCCCTCTCTCTCTCCCTCCTCCCCCCCCGCCCGCCCAGGTGAAGCTGACCCTGGAGACAGCCAGTCCAGGAGGACCAGGGGAGGGGGGTGTGGACGTGTCCTCTGCCCCCAGGCTCAAGCCCTCTCCCCCAGTCAGCCAGCTGGTACGCCTGCTGTGGGGCGAGGACACGGTGGAGCTCCAGATGTCTATAGGACACATCCCTCACATCGTCATGTACCTGTCTCTCAAACTGGATTCAGACTCCCCCCTGGAAGAGGTCAGTTCAGTAGGTCTCAGAAATGGCACCCTATTCCCTATGTAGTGCACTACTTTTGACCAGATCCCATAGGTAAAGTGTAGGACTGGAGGTACGGTAATCTGATCTACGGTCTGAGGTTAAAGGTAACCTCTACCTTGATATTTCTTTACATTCACCAACGCAAATCTACATTAAAGGTGCAATCCGTAAGTTTTGTCACCCCATCTGCAAGTCGAGATAGTACGAAAACATTCGACCAAGAAGCAAAACCAGAAATTAAATGTACTTATTGTGCCTCTAACTGTAGTTCAATGTTAGCTAAGTGCTTTCTTGAGTCCCAGTGAAAATCACCTCATGGGTACAATACATTTTTCTACAGTCAATGAATGAGTACTTAACTGCATTAAGAGTAATTAAATGTTTTAAAAAAATACCCATGTGTAGGAAATCCCTAGCGCAGCACTTAAAAAGCTTGTTGGCACACTCTGTGTTTTCTGACACAAAGCAGAAGCTTTAGAGAACAGAACTACTGCTCTGGTAGGCTTCCAGATCAAGGGCCTTTGGCTCTTTATAACTAACATCCAAAATGTGCACACACACACACACACACACACACACAGTGGAAAAATAGAAACAGGAGAACAGGAGAAAGATGTGAAGAATAAAGTTAGTTCCTCTTGATAATATCTCCCTTGATAATACATAACCATTACATTAGTAATGGGATAAATAAATACCAATAATTGCACAAGGATTGAATTGATTAACGTTAGTTTCACTGACTTCAATAAAATACATTAATTGGATTATATAACGCTTTTCCAAGTGCTCAAAGTGTTTTACATTGTAAGGGGGTGAACTCACACCTCATAGATACATAATATTAATTTATACTTTTTGGGCCAGTTTTCCGCACACAGAGCAAGGCTCAATAGACAAAGTCTAGTAATAAACCTAAGCCTAAACTGTGTCCGGGAAACTGTCCCTTTAGCTTTGCGGAAGAAAGCCACGCTGGAGCAGACTCAGCAGAGGTCAGAGGACAGTGGACCTGTAGTGAAGGGCTATGTTTTCTTGCTCTGTGGGAAAGTAAAGTACACTGAACAAAAATATTAATGCAACATGTAAAGTGTTTCATGAGCTGAAATAAAAGATCCCAGACATTTTCCATACGCACAGAAAGCTAATTTCTCTCAAATTGTGTGCACAAATTTGTTTACATCCCTGTTAGTGAGCATTTCTCCTTTGCCAAGATAATCCATCCACCTGACAGGTGTGGCATATAAAAAAGCTGATTAAACAGCATGATCATTACACAGGTGCACCTTGTGCTGGGGACAATAAAAGGGCACTCTTAAATGTGCAGTTTTGTCACACAACACATGTCACGCCCTGGCTCTGGGGACTCTTTAATGTTGAGCCAGGGTGTTAGTTCCTATGTTTAGTTGTTCCTTGTTTTCTGTCTAGATCGTTTAGATCTATGTTGGCCAGGGTGGTTCCCGATCAGAGGCAGCTGTTGCTCGTTGTCTCTGATTGGGAACCATACTTAGGCAGCCTGTTTTGCACAGTTGTTTGTGGGATCTTGTTCTGTATAGGTTTGTGTTGGTGAACCTTTAGACTTCACGTATCGTTTTGTTTGTTGGTGTAAAGTACTCATTAAAAGATGTACGCCTATCACGCTGCGCCTTGGTCTGCCTCTAATAACGATCGTGACAACACAATGCCACATATGTCTCAAGGTTTGAGAGAGCGTGCAATTGGCATGCTGACTGCAGGAATGTCCACCAGAGCTGTTGCCAGATAATGTAATGTTAATTTCTCTACCATAAGCCGCCTCCGTTGTTTTAGAGAATTTGGCAGTACGTCCAACCGGCCTCACAACCGCAGACCACTTGTATGGTGTCGTGTGGGCGAGCGGTTTGCTGATGTCAACGTTGTGAACAGAGTGCCCCATGGTGGCAGTGGGGTTATGGTATGGGCAGGCATAAGCTACGACAACTAACACAAGTGCATTTTATCGATGGCAATTTGAATGCACAGAAATACCGTGATGAAATCCTGAGGCCTTTTTTTTTTAAAGGTATCTGTGACCAACAGATGGATATCTGTATTTCCATTCATGTGAAATCCATAGATTAGGGCCTATTTTATGTATTTCAATTGACTTATTTCCTCATATGAATTGTAACTCAGTAGAATCCTTGAAATTGTTCCATGTTGCGCTTATATTTTTGTTCAGTATAGTAGCTACACTTAATTTCAGGATCGTGTCGAGTCACAGATCTGGGGAAGTGTACCAAAACATTTCTGCAGCATTGAAGGTCCCCAAGAACATAGTGGCCTCCATCATTCTTAAATGGAAGAAGTTTGGAACCACCAAGACTCTTCCTAGAGCTGGCCGCCCGGCCAAACTGAGCAATCGGGGGAGAAGGGCCTTGGTCAGGGAGGTGACCAAGAACCCGATGGTCACTCTGACAGAGCTCCAGAGTTCCTCTGTGGAGATGGGAGAACCTTCCAGAAAGACAACCATCTCTGCAGCACTTCACCAATCAGGCCTTAATGGTAGAGTGGCCAGATGGAAGTCACTCAATAAAAGGCACATGAAAGCCTGCTTGGAGTTTGCTAAAAGGCACCTAAAGTTGTCTCGGACCATGAGAAACAAGATACTCTGGACTGATGAAACCTAGATTGAACTCTATGGCCTGAATTCCAAGCGTCATGTCTGGAGGAAACCTTGCACCAATCCCTACGGTGAAGCATTGTGGTGGCAGCATCATGTTTGTGGGGGGGGTGGGGGGGGGGGGGGGGGGGGGGGGGGGGGGGGGAGAGACTAGACAGGATCGAGGGGAAGATGAACGGAGCAAAGTACAGAGAGATCCTTGATGAAAACCTGCTCCAGAGCGCTCAGTACCTCAGACTGGGGCGAAGGTTCACCTTCCAACAGGACAACGACCCTAAGCCCACAGCCAACACAATTGAGGAGTGGCTTCGGGACAACTCTCGGAATGTCCTTGAGTGGCCCAGCCAGAGCCCGGACTTGAACCCGATGAATCTCTTGAGAGACCTGAAATAGCTGTGCAGCGACGCTCCCCATCCAACCTGACAGCACTTGAGACGATCTGCAGAGAAGAATGGGAGAAACCTCCCCAAATACATGTGTGCCCAAGCTGTAGCGTCATACCCCAGAAGACTCGAGCTGTAATCGCTGCCAAAATTGCTTCACCCACGTTACTGAGGTAAAGGTCTGAAACTATGTAAATATCCTATTTCCGTTTTTTTTTTTTAAACAATTTGCAAACATTTCTAAAAAAAACCCCGGTTTTTGCTTAGTCATATGGGTATTGTGTGTAAGATTGATGAGGGGGAAAAAACTGTAACGTTACAAAATGTGGGAAAAGCAGAGTGGTCTGAATACTTTCCGAAGCACTGTATACTTTATTTATAATACACTGTAATCTTAAGGAATGAAGGTCATGGGATCTCTCTCTCTCTCCTTCTCTCTCTCCTCCTTCCTCACCTCCTCTCTCTCTCATCTCTCTCTCTCCCTCGTCTCTCTCTCTCTCCTGCTCTCTCTCATCTTTCTCGCCTCCTCTCTCCTCTCCTCTCTCTCCCTCACCTCTCTCTCTCCTGTCTCTCCTCTCTCCTTCTCGTTCTCTCTCCTCTCCCTCTCCCGCCTTCTCTCTCATCCCTCCGATTCTCTCACTCGTTCTCCTCTCTCTCTCTCTCTCTGATCTCCCCCTTTCTCGTCTTCTTCTTCATCTCTCTCGATGTCACCTCTGCGCTGACAGGTGAAAGTCCTCGGACCAGATTTCTCTCATCGTCTCTCATTCCTTGCTTCTCTTCGGTCTCTTCAGCATCTCTCTCGTCTCTCTCTCTCTCTCCGCTGCATCGAGTCTGCCATCTGAATTCAGCGAGCCATAATCTCTCTCTCTGCTGCTTCTCCAGACTCAGTCCATCTCTCGTTCATCGTCCTCTCCTCTCTACCTCGCAGCTGTGCATGGCTCTGGCCTCATCTCACTAACTGCCATCTGCTTTTCTCTCTCTCCCTTGAGAAACCAGATATTCTACTCTCTACATCCTCTCCTCCGTCTCTGCATCGTGGGGTCACTCCCTCCATCTCGTCGTCTCGTTCTCCTCCTCTCTCTCTCTCTCTCTCTCTCCTCTCAATGCAGACGTTGATGTTTTCTTACTGTATTTCTGCGGGCCTTCTCTTCCAGGCCACGGGTGGGAGAAGGAGAGGGCGTGAACTTGGAAGTCGATGCCACATCAGCTAGTTGGCAGGCATCCATGTTTTTTAAATGACAGCATAGTGCACCATTTTTTTTGTTAGTCCGCCGATTTTACAGTAGGAGAAATGACAGAAGTTGTTGTGTGTAGCCGGCCATGTAGCCTGTGTGTGTGCATTTTGAAATCTGTGTTTGTGTTTCTGTGGGTAGGCGCACACACACAGTGTGAGTGTTCTATATTTAGTTTCATGGAAGAAGAAGGACTTGACAGACGAAAGCAATATGGTGGAAGCTGATCGTTAGGTCAGAACAATAACAGAGGCACCTTGAAGACTGTGCTGGATAGAAATGTTTGTTACTAGGAAACTAATCATACAGTGCCTTGCAAAAGTATTCACCCCCCTTGGCGTCTTTCCTATTTTGTTGCATTACAACCTGTAATTTAAATTGATTTTTATTTGGATTTCAATGTAATGGACATACACAAAATAGTCCAAATTGGTGAAGTGAAATGCAAAAAATAACTTGTTTAACAAAATCCTTAAAAAAAAATAACGGAAAAGTGGTGTGTGCATATGTATTCACCCCCATTATAATATCTGGTGCAACCAATTACCTTCAGAAGTCACATAATTAGTTAAATAAAGTCCACCTGTGTACAATCTAAGTGTCACATTATCTGTCACATGATCTCAGTGTATATATAGAACTGTTCTGAAAGGCCCCAGAGTCTGCAACACCACTAAGCAAGGGGCACCACCAAGCAAGCGGCACCATGAAGACCAAGGAGCTCTCCAAACAGGTCAGGGACAAAGTTGTGGAGAAGTACAGATCAGGGTTGGGTTATAAAGAAATATCCGAAACTTTGAACATCCCACCCTTAAATCCATTATAAAAAAATTGAAAGAATATGGCACCACAACAAACCTGCCAAGAGAGGGCCGCCCACCAAAACTCACAGACCAGGCAAGGAGGGCATTAATCAGAGAGGCAACAAAGATACCAAAGATAACCCTGAAGGAGCTGCAAAGCTCCACAGTGGAGATTGGAGTATCTGTCCATAGGACCACTTTAAGCCGTACACTCCACAGAGATGGGCTTTACGGAAGAGTGGCCAGAAAAAAAGCCATTGCTTAAAGAAAATAATAAGCAAACAAGTTTGGTGTTCGCCAAAAGCCATGTGGGAGACTGAGCTTTTTGGCCATCAAGGAAAACGTTATGTCTGGCGCAAACCCAACACCTCTCATCACTCCGAGAACACCGTCCCCACAGTGAAGCATGGTGGTGGTAGCATCATGCTGTGGGGATGTTTTCATCGGCAGGGACTGGGAAACTGGTCAGAATTGAAGGAATGATGGATGGAGCTAAATATAGGGACATTCTTGAGGGAAACCTGTTTCAGTCTTCCAGAGATTTGAGACTGGGACGGAGGTTCACCTTCCAGCAGGAAAATGACCCTAAGCATACTGCTAAAGCAACACTCGAGTGGTTTAAGGTGATACATTAAAATGTCTTGGAATGGCCTAGTCAAAGCACAGACCTCAATCCAATTGAGAATATGTGGTATGACTTAAAGATTGCAGTACACCAGCGGAACCCATCCATCTTGAAGGAGCTGGAGCAGTTTTGCCTTGAAGAATGAGCAAAAATCCCAGTGGCTAGATGTGCCAAGCTTATAGAGACATACCCCAAGAGACTTTCAGCTATAATTGCTGCAAAAGGTGGTTCTACAAAGTATTGACTTTGGGGAGGTGAATAGTTATGCATGCTCAGGTTTTCTGTTTTTTGTCTTATTTCTTGTTTGTTTCACAATAACAAATATTTTGCATCTTCAAAGTGGTAGGCATGTTGTGTAAATCAAATGATACAAACCCCCCAAAAATCCATTTTAATTCCAGGTTGTAAGGCAACAAAATAGGAAAAATGCCAAGGGGGGTGAATTATTTCGCAAGCCACTAGTTTCAGTGCCTTAGGGGTATACTACAAAGCAGGATCAAGGAGTTAGCCAGCTAACTTGCCTGAATATAACTTTGTCTGTGGTACGAGTTGTTGGTGTGTTATTGACCCACAGGTGAATGTCTGGCATTTTAAGGATTCTCCCAGCTTTTGTCCTTGTTTCCCCTCCCCTCGGCCCCTGTCCAAAGTGGTCGGCCCAACCTCCCCCGGCTCTCTCCTGAAGTGGTCCGCTCCACAACCTTCATAGCAGACAGCATGTTGTGGAGAATACTAATATCAAAGACAATACAGGGAACCTGCCCTGTGCTCTCTCTTCTCTAACAGACTGTCTGTCTGTGTGTGTACCTCCATGTACCTCCTCAGCAGGAGATCCTGTACCAGTACCCAGTGTCTGAGGCATCCAGCCAGCTGAAGGGAGTCAGAGGGATCTTCCTTACTCTGTCTGACATGCTGGAGAATGTCACCGGGGGACAGATAGTCAGGTAAACAAAGTTTGTACAATCATATACATATTGTGGGAGCTCAGTAAGATTTCCACGGAAATAAAAAAAATGTCCACTCACTGTTTGCCGTGGCCTCCAAAAGTACTGAATAACTTTATTGGGAACAGCAAATAGAGGGTTAGGTTAGTCAGGTAAGACTACCACAGCGGTAGAGTGAATATACAAAGCCCCAATTAAATATAGCTAACTACTAAAAATTGAAATTCCATCCATTCATGCCATGATTTATATTTCTCCTCTTGCTCTCTTTTCTCCTGCACCTGTTCTTCCTCCCGCTTTCCTCTCCTCCTCTCCCATGTCTCCCCCTCTTTTTTTCTGTGCTCTAACCTTCTGCCTTCTCTTCTCCTCCCCTCCCCCTCCTCTTCTGTCTCATTCCCCCTCTTTTTTTCTCTGCACTCTACCCATCTTCTCTTCTTCTTTTGTCCTCCTCCTCCTCCCCTCCCTCCCCCTCCTCAGCTCGTCTCTCTTGCTCAGTAAACAGCTGGTCCATGTGGGCTACTGGAAGGAGAGCAACAACCTGCTGGTGATCGGCCTGCCTGCTGAGAGGTACCGTCTCAGTCAATCCCATGTGTCAGCTAAATGTTATAGCTTTTCTTGACCATGTGCCCTAATAATAGGTGTTTGATGTCCTCCTCCTCGTTGACTGTGTGTTGTGTTCTCATGTTTCCTCCAGGGTTCCTCTGCTCTCTCTGCCGACGGTAGTGGGAGGTGTGGTCAGGACACTCAACGTGATGTACGGCTCTCTGGGCAGGTCTGTTGACAATCTCCAGTCCTGGTCACGGACTAGGGATGCATCCTAAATTTGACCAAAAGTAGTGCACTATGTAGGGAATAGGGTGCCATTTCGGATGCATATGTTTGATTTCCTGGTTCAAGCTGTCCCAGTCTTTCTGGCTTCCTGTTTGAAGAAAGATAATTTATACTGTTATATTACATCAAACCTAAATAGGCTGTTGCCTTTTTTACACTTCTTTCTTTCCCTCAATCTCTCCCTCTGTCCCTCCCTCCAACTCTTCCCTCCCTCCCTCCACCTCCCTCCCTCTCCACCTCCCTCCCCTCCCTCCCTCCTCCTCTCTCCCCACCCTCCCCTCCCTCCCCCTCCTCTCTCCTCTTCCTCCCTCCCCCTCCCCCGTCCATCCTCCACATCTCATCCCTCCCATCCCCTCCCTCCCTCCCTCCTCTCTCCCTCCCCCATCTCTCCCTCCATCTCTCTCCCTCCCTCCCGCCCTTTCCCTCACGCCCTCCCTCCCTCCGCGCCTCCCTCCTCCTCCCCCTTCCGCATCCATCCCACGCCCCGTTCCCTCCCTCCTCACCTCTTCCCTCCCTCCCTCCCCCCTCTTTTTCCCCCTCCCTCCCTCCCCCTCTTCCCTCCCTCTCTCCACCTCTTCCCTCAACACAACATCTCGCCCTCCTCCCTCCCTCTCTCCCTCCCCCACCTCCTCCCTCCTTCCTCCCTCCTATTCCCTTAAGCCCTCCCTTCGCCCGCCTCTCTCCTCTCTCCTCCCTCCTCCCTCCCCCTTGGCCTTCGCCTCCCTCCTATCCTCTCCGCCCGTCCCCCCCTCTCCTCCCTCTCTCCTCCCTCCCTTCCTCCCGTCCCTCCCCCCTCCCTCCCGCCTCTCTGCCCTCCTCTCTCCCTCCGCCTCCTCTCAATCTCTCCATCCTACCTCTATGATCCTCTCCCTCACCTACCCTCCCTCTTCCTCACCTCCGCCTCCCTCCCTCCCTTCCTCTGGTCCTCTTCCCCTCGCTCACTCTCGCTCCCCTCCCCTCCTTCTTCGTCTCCGCCTCCCCGCTCCCTCCTTTCCTCCTCTCTTTCCCTCCCTGCCCTCCCTCTCTCCCTGCCCCTTCCCTCTCTCTCTCCCCCTTCCTCCTCTCTGCCCTCGCCCCCTCGCCCTCTCCCTCCTCCGCTCTCTCTCCCGTCCGTCACCTCCCCCACCCCCCCTATCACTCTCCCTCCCTCTTCTCCGCTCCTCCCTCCCTCCCACCTTCCCTCCCTCCCTCCCCTTCCTTTCCCTCCCTCCCCCTCTCCCTTCCCCATCCTCCCCGCATTCTTCCCCTCCCTCTCTCCACCATCTGTTCCCCTCCATCTCTCCACCTCTTTCCCTCCATCTCGCCCTCCCTCCCTCCCTCCATCCATCTCTCCGCCCTCCCTCCCTCCCTCCCTCCCTCCATCCATCTCATCTCGCCCTCCATCCGTCCCTCCCTCCCTCTGCCCTCCGTCCCTCCCTCCTCCCTCCCTCCATCTCTTCTCCTCACCCATCTCTCCCTCCATCCCTCCATCTCTCTCTCCCTCCGTCCCTACCCTCCCTCCTCCCTCCTCCCTCCCCCCTCCCTCCCTCTCCTCCCTCCCTCCCTCCCATCCCCTCCCTCCATCCCTCCCTCCCCTCCCTTCATCCTCCATCCTCTCTCTCCTCCATCTCCCCCCCTCTCTCCCATCTCTCACTCTCCCTCCCTCCCCCCCTCCATCTCTCTCCTCAAAGAAAAAAACAAAACTCCCTCCCCCCAATCCCTCCATTTCGCCTTCCTCCCTCTCGCCCTCATCGGCCCTCACCCTCCCTCCCCCCCTCCCCCTCCCTCCATCTCTCCCCTCCCTCCCCCTCCCCTCCCTCTCTCCCTCCCTCCCCCCTCCCTCCCCATCTCTCCTCCCCCCTCCCTCCCACTCTCCATCTCTCTCCTCCCTCCTCCCCCTCCCTCCCTCCCGCCCTCGCCGGCATCCTCCCTCCCTCCCTCCCTCACCTCCCTCCCCTCTCTCCCTCCCTTCTCTCCTCCTGCCTCCTAGCCCCCTCTCTCTCTCTCTCTCCTCCTCCCTCCCTCCTCCCTCCATCTCTCCCTCCCTCTCTCCAATCTCTCCCCTCGCCTCGCTCCTCTCTCTCTCTCCCTCCTTCCCTCCCTCCCGCCTCTACTCTCCCTCCCTCTCCCTCCTCTCTCTCTCTCTCTCGTCGCCCCTCCCCCTCCTCTACTCCCTCTCTCTCCCCTCCCTCTCTCCGCCTCCCGTCTCAATCTCCTCCCTCCCTCGGTCTTCGTTCCCTCCTTCCCTCCGCCCGTCGCCTCACCTCTCCTCCCTCCCTTCCCATCCTCCCTCCCTCTCCTCCCGCCCGCCCTCCCATCTCGTCCTCCCTCCCTCCCGCACCCTCCTCTCTCTCGCACTTGCCTCCCTGCCCTCCTCCTCTCCCCTTCCTGCCCATCCCTCCCCCGTGTCCCTCTCATCCTTCCCTAGCCCCCTTCCCTCTGCTCCTGACACCTCCGCGCGTTACCTCGTCTCCCGTCCCGTCCCTCCCTCCCATCCCTCCCTCTTCTCCGTCCCTGCATCTACTCCTCCCCTCCCTCCTCCCTCCCCTCGCCTCCCTCCCTCTCTCTCTCTCGTCCTCCTCTACCCTCCTCTCCCCCTCTCCCCTCACGTCAGGTTACAGTCTCTCCCTCTCCTCCTGTCCCGAACTCCGCTCCCCCTATCCCAGTCCCACTCGCTCTCAGTCTCGTCCCTCTCCTCTCTCACCTTCTCTTCTCTCATCTCGCTCTCCCTCACCTCTCTACCCTGCTCTCTCCCTCTCCCGTCCCTCTCTCCGTCTCATGAATCCCGCCCCTCTCTCTCCCTCTCTCAGACTCATAACTGCGCCTGGACTCTCTCTGCCCCGGCACCTCTCTCTCGTTTCTCTGCCTCGTCGCTCCCTCGCCTCCCCCCTCGTTAATTTCCCTGGTCTATCCTCTCCTCCACAGTGCGTTCTGCCAGGCGGACCACGCCCCCAGACTGGACCATTTCTTCTGCCTGTTCTTCCAGCAGCTGATCCAGCCCTCCAGGTTGAGTGACAGCTCTGTGGCCATGCTCCCTGACGTCTCAGGGACTCTCTTCCTGGACGGACTGCCGGCGGTTCGGTGGCTCACCCTGCCTCCTGAGATAAAGGTCTGGATGGGCCACAGCTTCGGGCCATGAATGTGATGAAACACTTTTAGGAACTCCTGTTCATTTGTATCTTACCCATTTGGTGTTTGTGCTTTCTCATGTTTTAACTACCGTTCTTGTTCTATGAAAGTGTTTTAGACTCAAGTCAGTGATAAGTTTAGGAATTTGCTCTTGCTATAATATGAATGAGATTTTTTCCATCTTGATCAGGGATGGGCAACTCCAGTCCTCTGGGGCCAGTGGTGTCACTCTTTTTACTCCATCCCTAGCAAAACACAGCTGATTAAACTAATTGCATTCTAAACTGAAAATCATGATTATTTGATTATTGGAGTCAGGTGTGTTATCTGGGGCAAAAGTGTGACACCAATCAGGCCCCGAGGACTGACGTTGCCCATCTATGATCTTGATGGACGTCTTTATCGATTTCTGTCTCATCTTTGCTGCCCTCTGCTGTCTAGCGGTAAAAAATGACAAGTGGTCCTGCTAGACTCTTTTCCATGTCTAGATGCTCCAGAGCATGGTTGACTCTGCAGCCGTTGTTAATGCAGAAATAAGTCACTACGTCTGTGATGTAGAATTACAATTGTATGTCAGAATTCTACTGATCGTCTCTGATCATCTGTTTAGGCCCCGTGTAGCTCAGTTGGTAGAGCATGGCGCTTGCAACGCCAGGGTTGTGGGTTCGTTTCCCACGGGGGGCCAGTATGAAAAAAAACAAGCAAAAAAAAAAATACATGTATGCACTCACTGTAAGTCGCTCTGGATAAGAGTGTCTGCTAAATGACTAATATGTAATATGTATCCACAGATGGAGGTTGACACTGTTCTCTCAGACTTTGAATCATCAGATTTTGGAGAAATGGTAAGTCAAATCGTTACACAGGGCTTTGGTCAAAGCAGTGCACTTTATGGGAAGTAGGGTGCCATTTCAGACGCAGAGAAGGTCCAATCCTTATCCCCATTCCCATTAGACAGAGCCACCAGCTGGCTCCTTCCCTCTGTAGGGCGTAGTCGTGACAGGAGAAGGTGGATCTATTTCTGGACCTGCCTGTGTATATTTAATGAGCCAGTAATGGAGGATGAGATCATCTTTATACCTGCGTCCTTAAATTAAGCAGGGCTGAGAGAGCGGGAGAGAGAGGGAGGATAGAGCAGCAGGCTACTTAATCATTAATGTCTGAACTTCTAAAACTGATAATGGAGATAGTCCTCTCTCTCTTTCTCCCTCTCTCTCTCTTTCTCGTAGTCAGAGGACTTCTATGGCATGAGGCGTCTCTACGTGACACTGGGTTCCTGTCTGTTCTACAAGGTGAGTGTCACATACACCTGTCTGCTGGAGCTCTCTCCTTTCCACACACACCTGGGCCCACGGTGAAACCTGACACCTCACAAAAGGGACAGACTGACACCCTTGGATGGATAGGAAGGAAGAGCCAGTTAAAAATGTGATTATATAGATATCATATCATCACCCAGGATGTACTTCTTAATTCCCTGGATGTCACACCATCAGCCTAACAACTAATGCTGAAACGCCATCAGCCTAACAACTAATGCTGAAACGCCATCAGCCTAACAACTAATGCTGAAACGCCATCAGCCTAACAACTAATGCTGACATATGAACGATGCGTAGAATTATATCGTTCAGTAGACTCCAGTCTCCATCCTCATCAGCTTTAGTGTAAAGAAAGTGTGGCACTCTAATAATATGAACACTATTTTATATTAATTGTGTTATCTGTGCATGTGCGTGCGTTCTTTCGTTCCTGTGTGTGTGTGTGGTGGGGGGGGGGGGGTTCTCTGTGTCTCTGTCTGTCTACGTGTGTGTGTGTGTGTGTGTGTGTATTTGTTCCTGTGGGTGTGTGTTCTCCGTCTCTCTACAGGGCTACCTGATAGCCAACCACCTCCCCAAGGAAGATCTGCTGGACGTGTGTCTGTACTGCCAGCACTACTGTCTCCTCCCACCCTGGCTGCAGAGCAGCGCGTGGGCCAGCTGGTCATCTGGAGAGAGGTGTTCCCACGACACCGCACCCAGAACCACCAGACCCAGACCCATCAGACCAATAGCAACCACTGTACCAGGCCAGGCTACTGCCAGCCACAGGGACGCTACTTCCTGCTCATAGTGGGACTGGTAAGATCGTTGTATTAAATAGAACACTACAATGGATATTGGTATCCCGGCAACAGCACTAAAATGACAGCCATCTTGGTCTGGAAAGCTTTCATTCTAGAAACATATTATTTTCTTCTGCATTACTAAAAGGAATACATAATTTCCTCTCTGCCTCTCCTGACATTTAATCCAGTTAGACTTGATCCCTGACCAAGGTGGCTGCCATTATCAACTTAAACTCCTATAACCTATTCCATCTGTCAATGAGTTGACCCTTTTCCTCCCAGACACTTCTGTGAACCCACACATTCTCTCTCCTTCTCCCCCAGAGGCACTTCATGCAGTGCGTCCTCCTGGAGGCGGGGGGCTGTGCGGCCCCTGCCCTGGGGGCCCCGAGGCCTGACTGCGTGTACGTGGACCAGGTCAAGGCCACCCTCCTGCAACTGGAGGGGCTGGACGTAGGGATGGAGGAACGCCTGGCCGCACCGCCCGCACCCTGCCTCTCCTGTGCAGACTGGTTCCTCCCCTCCTCCGCCCGGACAGGTTCGTTTTAGTTTAGTAGTTAAGTTTAGTTTGTTAAGTTGAATTTGTTGTAAAGTATTTCACTTTAGTTAGTAGTTACGTTTAGTTTAGTAGTAAAACACACATACAAATGTAGGATCTTAATTTGAGCCAGTTTGCTACAGCAGGAAAATAAGTTTGCAGCAACAAGAAATGGGAATTATATTAATAATTAATAATAATTAATAATATAATTAATGGACATTTTTGTAGGGGTTGATACCTTTTTCGTAAGGGAAAATCAAGTCTGAAATTTCAAAGTGGAAATTACAAACTTCAGAAGCCTTTTTAAACCTGAAATACGGTGCTTTCGGAAAGTATTCAGACCCCTTCACTTTTTCCACATTTTGTTACGTTACAGCCTTATTCTAAAATGTATTAAATACTTTTTTCCCTCAATCTACACACAATACCCCATAATGACAAAGTGAAAACAGGTTTGTAAACATTGTTTGCAAATGTATTAAACAGAAACAACAACCTTATTTAGATAAGTATTCAGACCCTTTGCTTTGAGACTCGAAACTGAGCTCAGGTGCATCCTGTTTCCATTGATCATCCTTGAGATGGAGTCAACCTGTGGTAAATTCAATTAATTGGACATGATTTGGAAAGACACACACCTGTCTATATAAGGTCCCAAAGTTGACAGTGCATGTCAGAGCAAAAACCAAACCATGAGGTCGAAGAAATTGTCCGTAGAGCTCCAAGACAGGATTGTGTCAAGGCACAGATCTGGGGAAGGGTACCAAAAAATGTCTGCAGCATTGAAGGTCCCCAAGAACACAGTGGCCTCCATCATTCTTAAATGGAAGAAGCTTGGAACCATCAAGAAACTGAGCAATCGGGGGAGAAGGGCCTTGGTCAGGGAGGTGACCAAGAACCCGATGGTCACTCTGACAGAGCTCCAGTTCCTCTGTGGAGATAGGAGAACCTTCCAGAAGGACAACCATCTCTGCAGCACTCCACCAATCAGGCCTTTATGGTAGAGTGGCCAGACGGAAGCCACTCCTCAGTAAAAGGCACATGACAGCCCGCTTAGAGTTTGCCAAAAGGCACCTAAAGGAGTCTCGGACCATGAGAAACAAGATTCTCTGGTCTGATTAAACCAAGATTGAACTCTTTGGCCTGAATTCCAAGCGTCACGTCTGGAGGAAACCAGGCACCGCTCATCACCTGACCAATACCATCTCTATGGTGAAGCATTGTGGTGGCAGCATCATGCTGTGGGGATGTTTTTCAGTGGCAGGGACTGCGAGACTAGTCAGGATCGAGGGAAAGATGAACGGAGCAAATTGACCTGAAAATAGCTGTGCAGCAACGCTCCCCATCCAACCTGACAGAGCTTGAGAGGATCTGCAGAGACGAATGGGAGAAACACCCCAAATACAGGTGTACCAAGCTTGTAGCGTCATACCAAGAAGACTCTAGGCTGTAATCGCTGCCAAAGGTGCTTCAACAAAGTACAGAGTAAAGGGTCTGAATACTTATGTAAATGTCATAAAAACCTGTTTTTGCTTTGTCATTATGGGGTATTGTGCGTAGATTGATGAGGGGAAAAAACTATTTAATCAATTTTAGAATAAGGCTGTAACGTAACAAAATGTGGAAAAAGTGAAAGGGTCTGAATACTTTCCGAATGCACTGTACACTGCAAGTTTTACATTTCCTGCATTGCAGGAAAGTTCTCCTGCAACAGGGTGATCAAATTAAGATCCGACATTGGTACAAAATCTACCTAAATAAAATCATCCAGGATGAGACAAAAAGGTCAGAAAACTTACTTCCATTGTGGTCCTCAGGTTGGACACCATGGCCGCATCGTCCCCTGTCTTCAGTAAACTGGCCGGGGCTGTGAAGCCACAGTCCTCTGCCCAGGGAGGGGGGAAGGGAGTGGGCAGGAGCCTCTTCGGAGGGGGTGCCCGGAGACCTAGCCCCCAGAGGAGTCAGTCGGACAGTGGGAGCGAGGGACAGCCGGAGGGGGGTGTAGGAGGGCAGACGGGGCTCAGTCCACACTCCACCCCAGACTCAGCCAGGAAGCTGGGTGGGCGGAGAGACTCACTGGGTTCTGGTGGATCTGAAGGGAGTGGAGGCAGTGGAAGTATTTTCAAGGTAGCGTCATAACTTTCCTTCCCCCTTGCTAAGGTTCCATCACCTGTATTGACTTTGATACATTACATTTGGTACACACGCATACACCACTAGGAGAAAGGAGAGTTTTTAGTGAGCACAGTATGCATGGGACTCTATGGCTTTTGTCATTTACCAATGGACCTTTTTATTGTTTATTTGTCCCCCTAGATTCCCAGGATGAAGCACCCTAACCCGTTCTACCTGGGCACCCTGAAGAAGAGTCTGACAGAGAGAGAGACAGAGGAGATGTACCACACTATTAAGTGAGTGACACAGGCCAGCAGTGTTAGAAGTTAGTTTATCCTTCCTTGTTGTAATAATGCTCTAACCCCCCATTCCATTCAATCTCATTCTATTCCATTCCATTATTTTCTATTCCATTCCATTCTCTCTCATTCTATTCCATCGCATTCCATTTTTTCTATTCCATTCTATTCCATTCATTTCTATTCCATCCATTCTATACTATTCTATCCCATTCCACTCTCTCTCTGTGCTGTGTTCCCAGGTTGACGTCTGGGGCAGAGAACACTCTGTTCCACTATGTGCTGATGGAGACAGTGCAGGGTATCTTCATAGCTCCTACACACAGGGAGCTGGCCCAGCTCAGCGGCTCCATCCACCCTCAGCTCATACGTAACTTCCACCACTGCTGCCTCTCCATACGGGCCGCCTTCCAGCAGAGTCTACCGCTCAGGGTGAGATACAACACACACACAGGCTTGTACATGCACATGCACGCACATACTCACAGACACACTCGTGCGCATGCTCTCACACACACAGACACACTCACGCTTTCGCTCTCTTTCACACACACAAACACAACACATCCTCATATGTAACAATGTGTCTGAGTTGTATACAAAATAGCCTCGCCGCGAACCAGGTTTCCCTAAAACGGGAAGCCTGGGGAAGTTCCATGGCAGAAATCAGCTAAAGAGGGGTCGGAACCCGGTGTAAATCAGTGATGCCTCACAACATGTCAAACCAATCAAATTAGTGCTGTAGGAGCAAAATTTCTCTGTTATTTCGAGATGAGCTAAAGCTGCAGCAAGAGGAGAGAAATGGCTTACAATGCTGGCCATATCAATATTTGGCTGTAAAGGCTAGCATGAGGAACAAGAAGTAGCTTGCCACAATGCGGTTTGTTTTGAGAAAAGTGAGCTAACCTTGTAAGCTACCTAGGTATAACTAACTAGCTAGCTACTAGCTTGTTAAATTTCTCTCACGATTATAAAGCCTACACATTTTTTATAAAAACAGCATATTATTGACCTAAAAGGTTAGCTGTGTTAGTTAGCCCAGTTGCTAGCTTATCCAGGGTCAGTGATACATAGAGCAACCATGTGCTGTCTATCTATGGGAACAACTGCAATCATTTTGCAAGTAACATTGCTAAAATGAATGAAATAAAATAAAATAAACCTCATAAAATGTTACCTGTAGGGGTCCTGGGTGGCGCAGCGGTCAAAAGCACTGCACCGCAGGCGATCCCAGGCTGTTTCACAACCGGCTGTGACCAGGAGCCACATAGGATGGCCCGGCGCCGTCCGGGGTAGGGGAGGATTTCGCCGTTGGGGCTTTTCTTGGTTCATTGTGCTCTAGCGACTCCTTGTGACAGGACCGGGCGCCTACAAGCTGACTTCGGTGTTTCCTCCGACACATTGGTGCAGTTGACATCCGGGTTAAGGGAGCAGTGTGATAAGAAGTAGGCGGCCAGGCCGGTCATGTTTCGGAGGACGCACGACTCGACCTTTGCCTCTCCCGAGCCCATTGAGGAGTTGCAGAGATAAGCCAAGGGACCTAATTTGTGGAGAAAACGGGGTAAAACAAATATACGCTTGTGGCCTGTTCAGGGCCTGGTTAGTACTGGGATGGGAGACCGCCTGGGAATACCAGGTGCCGTAAGCTAAAAATAAAAACATACCTGTAGTGCTCATTCCTGTAATGGCCAACCTTGCTCCGCTGATCCCTGATCTACTGGGTGAGAAGACTTCTATTCGAGCCCATCAATAGAACACTTGATTATCAACTCATTAGATTTGATATGTTGAATCAGGTGTGTTATTGCTGGGCTGAAACAGAACCCTGCACACCCAGCAGACCTCCAGCAGGGTTGGCCTGCTCCAATTCTAATAGGTTTATACATTGTGTGTAATGTTTAACTGTATTTTTGTATACAACATTTGCTAATATGTGGGATATACCCTTAGTCTCTTGGGATATTCATTGGGACCTCTCTCTTCATCTGCAAACAGGCTTTCACAGCTTTCCATATCTGAGGACACAAAACATCACAAAGGTTTCATTATACTCAAATTAGACAGCACTGACTGAATATTATGTTGCTATTATCTCTCTGTCCTCAAAGTTGTCCTCTCTAGGGACTGGAACTGGAGAATATTTTAGTGTTAGCTGGAGCTGCAATTTCACCCATGGCTGTTATCTACAAATACATTTGGAGACTGTGTTTTTAATGTATAATGATTACATCAAGATAGCTAGCTAATAGGAAGTTAGCTAGTTGATGACATTTAATTAACTTAGCTAAACAGTGTGTAAAGTTAGCTAGCTAGCAGCTCAGTTAAGTTAGCCTACAAAGTGGCCTACTGTAGCCAGCTAGCTAGTGAATAATGCTTGTTTTTTAACATTTAAAACATGTATTTACTTACTTGAATAGGTTCTCCCATTGCCTCTGTTTTTTTGCTCCTTACAAAAACAAAATAATGGGCAGCCATAAATGGAGACAAGGAAAAAAGTAAGTTTGTTACCAGAGCGGTTTAGAACGTGCTAGGACGTTTGACTTTACCAGCGTAATCCACTCTCAATTTCAATATATATAAATCGCAGACAGTGACGCACATAACACACAGCACCCCTTCTATGGGCGTGTGGGGGAGGGTTCTTGAAATGTAACATCCTATCAAAATCTTGCAGCTGGGCGCCAGCAAACCATTCAAACCGTTTTTGAAATACAACATTCTCCAAAACAAAGGTAGTGTGTTTATGTATAAAATCATAGACTTCTCTCTCTATATATGTGTGTTTATCTCTGTTAACAGGGCAGGCGGGGTGCAGACAGACCCCAGGGGACCCATGGGCTGGGCCCAGTGAAAGAACACGGGGTTCTGTTCCAGTGTAAACCTGAGAACTGGACCGACCAGAGGAAGCCTGCTCCCACCATGACCTACTGGGTGATAGGGTATATGACAGTATAAAATACTAAATGGTACCGTTCTCTATGTAGTGCACTATTTAAAATGTGTGAAGAGTCAATACTGCTATCTCAAATGGCATCCTATTCTATATAGTGCACTACCAGTGCACACTGGGGCGCTCTGGTCATATGTAGAGTACAGCATATGGTGAATAGTGTACGTGAGAGAACAAAGTGTTTCTAGTCTGATCTTAAATGGCACCCTATTCCCTATGTAGTGCACAGTTTAGAGATCTAGCCAATGTACTATATGGGGAATAGGGTGCCATTTAAGACATAACATTTTAAATTTTTTACATTTTAGTCATTTAGCAGACGCTCTTATCCAGAGCGACATAAAGTTAGTGAATGCATACATTTTCATACTGGCCCCCCGTGGGAAACAAACCCACAACCCTGGCGTTGCAAGCGCCATGCTCTACCAACTGAGCTACATAACCAACTGTGTCTGTGCTTAGCTTACATAGTGTGAGAGCCCACCCAATGCCACTGTATATGATTGAGTCTCCTATTAATTATGATATTTATTTAGCCTCTGTTGCTATACAGGGTCAGTGTTATGAGTTATGGCTTTGTGTGTGTTGGCAACATTATGAGTGATGTCTGTAATGAATGTAGGGTTTGTAGTGTAGGGATGGTGGTCTGTCCTTGTAGAACGGACTGATGGCACTTTGGGTCTGTCTCGGCTGTTGACTTTGGACATGCTCCTAGGTTTGAGAGGGCTGTGTGTGTGTGTGTGTGTGTGTGTGTGTGTGCGCGACTACAGCTGGCCCTCAGGGAGAGAGGTCTGTTGGAGTGGTACAGAAGGGAAGTAAAACTGTCTGGGTGGCAGAGTACAGAAGGGAAGTAAAACTGTCTGGGTGGCAGAGTACAGAAGGGAAGTAAAACTGTCTGGGTGGCAGAGTACAGAAGGGAAGTAAAACTGTCTGGGTGGCAGAGTACAGAAGGGAAGTAAAACTGTCTGGGTGGCAGAGTACAGAAGGGAAGTAAAACACTGGAGTTAACTTTGAGTGAGAGGCTTGGAGTAACAGGTCACCATGTAATAGCTGGGTTCTAGGTTTCAGTGGCAGTCAGACATACTGGGCAGAGAGATCTTCATTCATCAAGGTGCTGCTATATTGCCTACTCTCCTGACCTCTAGGGCTTTTTGTTAGATTTTTTAAATCACTCAGCAATTATATGTCCTTCCTACCTATGCTCCTCTACCTTGGGTCTGTCCCAATAATATCTCCTTCCTCCTGAAGTGTGCACTCGTTCACTATTCCCCACAAAATTAAAAGCTTTGGATTGGTGGAGGCATGGACTAGAGGGCGTTTCCATACACCAGTAATTTCCTTTAAAATCCATGAAGGGAAGTGAACAAGTGCACACTTAAGGAGAATGTAGATATTATTAGGATGCCCCAGAAACCAACTCTGCTATTTTCCTCCTCTTTCTCAATTTGAAGCTCTGTGTTGTCTCTCTGTGTTCCAGCCGGATGCTTCTAGAACCCGTCCCTCAGGAATTCTATGTGTGTTTCCATGACTCCGTGGCAGAGGTTCCCGTGGAGATGGCCTTCCGCCTATCTTTCGGCCTGGCCTTGTGACGAGCCGTCTGCCAACAGTCTCTTAATGAACTCTGATAACACTACTACCTACAGACAGAGGTGCACAACCCTGGGTTCTGTTCATTAGCCACCAAACGGGAGAAAACTGATGGAAACAGGGAGGGGCTACCTAAACTCCAATAAGAACCGCTTGTTTATGTTTCACAAAATATTTTACTACGGTGCACCCTAATGAACACGACCCTGGCCTTCAAAGTTTCATAGTCGACCTCAACGCCTGCTTACTGTCTGTCTGAGATATTGCAGGAACTAAGACTCCCTCTTGTGCCTTGTTCCAGACAGACATTGATCACCTGACAGCAGATAAAAGGAAAGAACAAGGTTGTTCTCAGTTAGCCTTGGACCAGCTCCAGTGGAACAGCAGGGCACAACGCTGTGGAACATTCAGATAGAACTATATTAAAAAGAACAAACATACCTCTCTGACATGTAGAATATTATTGTAAGGAATCACGTCAGCTCTATTCATGGAATTTATATCTGTAACGTCCCACTACACTTGCCTATTGAACAAAGCCCTGGGTTTACTGGATGCAACAATTTTGTGTCCGAAATGGCAACCTACTCCATATTGAGTGCACAGCTTTTGAATCTGGTCAAAAGTAGTGCACTATGTAAGAATGGTGTGCCATGAGTGTCGAAGGTAGGACAAGCCACTAAACTCAATAACACCTCGGGAAACAGGCTGGATTTTAGTTTTTATAAAGGGCAGATGTGACTGCAGGGAAAGCATTTTGCTGCTGTTCTGACCATAGAAATAGAATGTCATTCTAGTTCAGTGGTTCGTACTGACATTGCTTTTCGCTTAAAAGTGCTACACATAGGATTTTTATTTTTTGTTTGCATTGTAATTTCAGAAAATGTCCATAATATATCTGCAGTAATAGTGAAATGACAGTGTTTCACAGTACTATTTACCCGCCAGTGTTGTGATTGGCTGTGATATTTGCCTATTGATTTTGTCCGGCCGGAGCAGCATCTGTTGTCAAAGTGGGAAAGTGGTTCTGACTTTGGCTGTGTTATCTAGTGGAAATCGCTCTGTCATTTCCTGGTTGCAAGAATTCTACACTGTTCGCTCAATTTCAGTTAAAGTGAGAAAACAAGCACTGGATAGTGTAGGGAATCATTGTACAATCTAAATCGCTGTGAAATATCTTGCAATTCACTTAGCACTAGGCTGCATTCAAAACAAATCTCCCCCGCATTCCATTTCCCCGTAACATGGCAGAGACTAGTACTCAAACAGCTGTAAAAACAATATTTTCTCTTATTGAAAACATATTTCACAGCGATTTAGATGGTACAATGATTCCCTACACTATTCAACGCTTGTTTTCCCTCACATAATCATTCCACTATTACTGCAGATATATTATGGACATTTTCTGAAATTGCAATGCAAAACTCCTATGTGTAGCACCTTTAAGTGTGCCTGACCAAATAATGTGACTGTTCTTGCCTGCTATCCTCTCCATGTTGGCATGGCAACAGCCTTAAGTGGAGTTCTATTCCTATATGCTGTTGATTTGGGAGGAGGAGAGAAATGTTTGATCTTTTATTTAAAATGTACAGTATTTTGTATAGAAGTCAAATAATTTGTGATACAAATGCACCTTTGTGGCTGTTAATTAAAATAAAATAAACTTGTTTTGGTTTCCTGGGGTAATTTTCTCAATTGATCAAACAAACAAGAGTGTAACATGTTAAATGGACATGCCGCTGTGTTACACAGTGCTTTAAGGCTTCCAAAATGAATACAAAACCATTAACGATATATTTACACAAATGAAAGTCCTTCATGATCAACAGGCAAAAGAGCACTCTAATTTTAGGAAAAAGCTGATTTACTTCAGCAGATTCATTTCACAAAACAAGGGTGCCTTGTTAAATTCTTATACAAGCTACATCAAGTGGATTTCGACAGAGAGGATCTAGAAATGAAATGCACACTGCCGGATGTGGCTGTAGCCTTCATCATTATGATGTGTGTTATCAGGGCTAAATTGTCTGTCTGACTGATGCATTGATTTGAACAACACTCATCTCTTTTGTAAGAACACATAATTATGTCATTAGTTCGCCACCAGAAATGCAGAGGAATGACCCATTTCTGGACATGTCACAAAAAAACAACACCTTTTTATAATTCTGCTAAATAAAAAAGATCCACCTTGTCCTTTAGCCCTAGAGTCTGTACGGCCAGCAAGCCTAAACCTTCCAAAGCGGTGAAGTTCAAGTGGCGCTCTCCACAACAAGGACCAGATTCTTCCTGTAGCACTCCAGACTACAGAGAGGGATCCCCGTCTTGGAGCACGAGTACCTCTTCAGATTACTGCACCCGTTTACCCCGCACCCTACCGGTGCCGGTGGAGGGGGGCACAGGGGAGCAGGGGTGGGGGCTAGCAGCCCCTTGGGAAAGGAAATCCCCATTCCCTGGGCCGAGTCGCAGTAGCGGACCATGGGACACTGGGCCTGCTTGGACTTGCGTTCCCTCATGCTCTTGATCTTGGCCTTGGAGGTCTTGGTGAGCCTCTCGATGGTCTGGTTCTTGTTCTCCTCTGCCTTCTTGGCAGCCTGCAGGCGCCTCTTGCGGGCGCGCTCCTCCCTCTTCTGCATCATCTCGGCGGTCATCTCCTTCTCCTTGTAGCCCATGGGCAGCTCCAGGAGAGGCTGGTTCTGCTGCTTGTGCAGGAGGGCTTTCTGTAAGGCATAAGCACACACACAAACGCATAGTCAAGTACAGTAGGATGTAGACCTAAAGCTTTACATAAATCTATAGGGTTAGGGCATTTCTGTAATCTTCCAAGTTTTTAACCAATAGCAATTTCTCAGATCATATCGTAACCTTAAATCACATTTTCGAGAAAAACTCAGAACTCTACTTTACATAATGTCAGACTAGCCTAGGCCTGGAGCCCTGCTCGGTCTGTCTGTCCGGACCCTGTTACCTGTCTGGCTGTGAGCAGGGACTCATCGATCTCCTTCTTCAGCTCTCCGTTGTCGTCCAGCTCGCCTTTCTCCAGGGCGTCCAGCCACTTCTCCTCCTCGTCCACCGGCCCCCCCAGTCCCCCTAGGGAGTCAGAGTCCATGTCTGGCAGAGGAGACGGGTCCAGGTTACTGTCCTCATCTAGAGACAAGGAACAGAAAGAAAAGTGCATGGTCAAGATATTAGAAAGACATGGCTACGATCCATGAAATCCACAAATTTCACATTAACCATTTGCATCGTGTACTTATTATTACAGAAGTGCATAAGGTTTAATTCCAATATTTTATACAGTGCCTTCAGAAACTATTCACACCCATTGACTTATTCCACATTTTGTTGTGTTAGACTGAATTTAAAATGGATTACATTTTGTGTCACTGGCCTACACACAATACCCCATAACGTCAAAGTGGGGTTATGTTTTTCGAAATTGTTACAAATTAATAAAAAATGAAAAGCTGAAATGTATTCAGTCAATAAGTATTCAACCCCTTTGTTAAAGCAAGCCTAAATAAGTTCAGGAGTAAAAATGTGCTTAACAAGTATCATAATAAGTTGCATGGACTCACTGTGTGCAATAATAGTGTTTAACATGATTTTTGAATGACTACCTCATCTCTGTACCCCACACATACAATTATCTGTAAGGTCCCTCAGTCGAGCAGTGAATTTCAAACAGATTCAACCACAAAGAACAGGGAGATTTTCCAATGCCTCGCAAAGAAGAAGGGCACCTATTGGTAGATGGGTAAAAATAAATAAAAGCAGATATTGAATATCCCTTTGAGCATGGTGAAGTTATTAATTACACATTGGATGGTGTATCAACACACCCAGTCAATACAAAGATACAGGTGTCCTTCCTAACTCAGTTGCCGGAGAGGAAGGAAACCGCTCAGTGATTTCACCATGAGGCCAATGGTGACTTTAAAACAGTTACAGAGTTGAATGGCTCTGATAGGAGAAAACTGAGGCTGGATCAACAACATTGTAGTTACTCCACAATACTAACCTAATTGACAGAGTGAAAAGAAGGAAGCCTGTACAGAATAAAAAATATTCCAAAACATGCATCCTGTTTGCAACAAAGTAATACTGCAAAAAATGTGGCAAAGCAATTAACTTTTTGTCCTGAATGCAAAGTATTATGCTTGGGGCAAATCCAATACAACAAATTACAGAGTACCACTCTCCATATTTTCGAGCATAGTGGTGGCTGCATCATGTTATAGATATGCTTGTAATCTCTAAGGACTGGGGAGATTTTCAGGATTAAAAAATAAATGGAATGGAGCTAAGCACAGGCAAAATCTGGGAGATGAATTCACCTTTCAGCAGGACAATAACCTAAAACACAAGGCCAAATCTACACTGGAGTTGCTTACCAAGAAGACAGTGAATGTTCCTGAGTGGTCGAGTTACAGTTTTGACTTAAATCTGCTTGAAAATCTATTGGCAAGACTTGAAAATGGTTGTCTAGCAATGATCAACAACCAATTTGACAGAGCTTGAAGAATTTAGAAAATAATAAAGGGCAAATATTGTGCAATCCAGGTGTGCAAAACTCTTAAGAGACTTGCCCAGAAAGACTCACAGCTGTAATCGCTGACAAAGGTGTTTCTAACATGATTTGACTCAGGGGTGTGAATACTTATGTAAATTAGATATTTCTGTATTTCAATAAATTTGCTAACATTTCTAAAAACATGTTTTCACTTTGTCATTATTGGGTAGATGGGTGAGAAATAAATATATTTAATCAATTTTGATTTCAGGCTGTATCACAACAAAATGTGGAATAAGTCAAGGGGTATGAATACTTTCTAAAGGCACTGTATATAGTAAATCAATCACATTAAGCAGGAAATGACTTTTATATTGAATATGATTGGACATGATGAGATTAAGAGACAGACCTTGGCACTCACCAAGCCAGGCCCGGTACTGCTCGAGTGGGACGCCCTCAGAAGGCTCCTCATCGTCATCATCATCCGAGTCGTCATCATCGTCCACGATCATCAGAGGAGACGGGGAGCGGGCTACACCAGGGATCACACTGAATGTTGGCACACTGGTTCATTAAAAAAAGGAGAGATAACAAGAACCTATGAGGTTCGAATATCAGGTCACGTGAACGCTGGACCTATAATTTGTATCAGATGTCTCAATCAATGTTGAAGTCAATAGGAACTGTTTAGGGCCAGGGTGAGTTTCTCCAAAATATAAAGATCATCTTTAGCACTAAGATCATCTTAAAACCATTGGTAGGCAATGGGCGAACCATGATCTTAATGCTAAAGATGATCTTTATGTTTTTGGAGAAACTTACCCCTGTTAAGCTCAGTGGTCTCATCCTGTGTCACTCTTAAAGTAGAAGCCAGCGAGGTCTCACCTTTTGGTTCCCAGTGTTTGGCCTCCCAGTTTGATCTTGAGTCGGAGCTGCGTGGGGGGCTTGAGTCGGAGTTGCGTGGGGGGCTTGAGTCGGAGTTGCGTGGGGGGCTTGACCAGGATGCCAGAGGATGACTCCAGGGCCTCGGAGTAGGAGTTGTGCCCGTCGTCACGGTGATGCTTCTTCTTGTGCTTTTTGTGCTTCTTGTGTTTCCTCCTATGGAGGCTGTGTAACCCCAGGTGGTCTCCATCACCTGTAGTCACAGATAACCAATAGAGATGTAGACAAAATAGAGACAAAGAGAAATCAGACCTATTTAGAAGTGTATAGTGTTGTTCACAGGAGGTTGGTGGCACCTTAATTGGGGAGGACGGGCTGGAGGTAATGGCTGGAGCGTGTTTGATTCCATTCCATTCATTCCGTTCCAGCCATTATTATGAGCCGTCCTCCCCTCAGCAGCCTCCACTGGTGTTGTTATGGGCTCAGTTTGTAGAGCATGGTGCTTGCAACACCAAGGATCGTGGGTTTGATTTCTGCTGGGGCCACCCATCAGAACAATGTATGTATGGCTGTCATATATAGACACACCCTATGTGTTTGAATAAAATCAACTATATGTACTGAGCTTGTCTGATGCATTAAGCGCAGTGTTTGATTAAATAATTAAGACACACAAATGACTCAAGGGGGAGCCTAATGGCCACACTGTGTTAAAACATGTTTACAGCGAGTGCCTGTGTGACTGGCGCACGTTGTCTCTCTCTCCTCCCTGCTGCAGCGAACAGGCACCACAGCACAGCAAGTGTTTATAGCACTGTCCATGCTGTATCTGCAACATAATTACAGTCATTCAGTTTCTTACTTGTTTCTCTGACTGAAAAGTTATATTACCGAAATACCTCATTTGTTTAGGAAAAACATTCCCTATTCCCTCAACCCCTGCTCTCTTTACGTGAAACATGTAACCATCGCATGCACTTGACCAATAGGGCCTGACCTATAGCCCATCATAATCACATCAATAAATTGGTTATAACAAACTCCGAACACTGTAACACGTGACAGCAAAATGGATGGGGAGGATGTGAAAAAGAAACTTGAAACAGGGGAATGTTTACTGGCTGCTCAGGAGGGAAAGGGGAAGTCAGATGTGTGGAAGACATTTGACTTAGTTGTGGAAACTACTGGAGATCAAGAAAAAGGAGGGTATATAGGAGCAAGCGCTGCATAAGTATTGTGTGCCAAACAGGTGCTTTCAGATTACAATATTATTATTTTTCTGACCATTTGGAACAGTATAAACAACACTAAATAAAGTATAAATGTACCATAGAGAGTGTTCTAATGGAGAAAGAAAAAATGACGCATTTATTACAGCAAAGACTAAAAACAGTTGCATGCATTCGTGAATTGCGGTTAATTTATTGTTTAGGCTGATTATCCAAAGCTCCCTTTGTTATTTTATTTTAAACTAAAATGCTTGATTGCATTTCACAGCATGAATGACTTGTATGTTGTGTGATGACATGAACGAATGAATGACTCATTGACTAATACAGTAGCTTATATATTGAAATATAAACCTAAGTAAGTTACGGTATTAAGACTAAACAGGACGCGCTCTTAGGCCTACAGCTCGATGGTGGTTATACAAGGCTGCTATACTAAGCCTACTAATAATAATGACATTACTTATTATAATGATGACCATAATAATAATTGTAATTTAAGAAGAAGAAGAAGGAGATGAAGAAAATTGAGGGCATAGGAGCGAGAGCAGCGTGAATATTATGTGTGACAAACAGGTGCTGTTAGATTACAATATACTTTTTCTGCTTGTTTGGAACAGTGTAAACAACACTAAATCAATTATAAGTACTACCAGAGAGTCTGTTCTAACGTTTAAAAAAAAATAAAAAGACTTTATTACAGCATAGCAAATATTAAAAACAGCCGAATTCGTGAAATTGCTTTATCCAACATTTTGCGGTTGCACGAGGCTTGGTGCTCAAGGAATCAGTAGGCTATTAAACAAACACTCAAACTGGCTAAAGATGCAGGATCTGTCTTATTTCTGTTGATATATATGGATGATTTATAAAGACAGGCACGTTTAACAGTTAGGCTATTGATTACAGACCTAATTAAGGTTTCCTCTCTCCTCAATTATCTTAGACAATTAAGGCAAGGGCTGTTTCCTTGTCTCCTCACTCTGCTGCTGCCTCCACAGCATTGTTCTCAACACAAATATGTACATAGGTCATATAGGGAAAGGTGCCAATTCAACAGTGCACTGAAGATGAAGTTTCAGAACTGCTGACAGCAACCGCGATCCATCGCGGGACAAAAGCGCATTTGTTATAAAATAATATTACATTTATTAGTGTTGCACCATTATTCTTACATAGTATGACCATTTACAATTTCAGTATTACATGTCTAAAAGGCTCTGCATGGTCAGTCCGACATCTGCAGTGGCCGTACAGCCCTCCGCAGAAGTCAGAGCATTCATACTTCTTGCGCTTTGCGGAGCAGAACTGTTGTGAAGTAAGTTGTCAAGAAAGTGAGTTTGTGTTTATACAGGACCTTCCGCCCCCACCTACTGTCAACCAATCATGTCAATGTGGAGCCTTCTGCATTGTTACAAAATTAGAGGCGCATGGCGAAGCAGTATGGAGCTTGATTTGGCCTCTGCATGCCTCCAGAGGCTCCGCAATTGCGTCACACACTCCATAGAAAGCCTCTGACCACATTGCGGATCAAGCATATTTCGGATCAAGCATAAATTGGCTTTAAAAGGCACTGCATGGTCAATCTGACGTCTGCATTGGCCGTGCAGCATTTACTGTGATACGGCCTCTACAGAAGTCAGAGCATTCATACTTCTTGCGCTTTGCGGAGCAGAACTGTTGTGAAGTAAGTTGTCAAGGAAGTGAGTTTGTGTTTATACAGGACCTCCAGACCTCACCTACCATCAACCAATCATGTTAATGCCTAGCTATATGGAGCCCTCTGCATTGCTACAAAATTTGAGAGGCGCATGGCGACGCGGTATGGAGCTCAATTTGGCCTCTGCGTGCCCCCGGAGGCTCCGCAATTGCGTCACACCATCAATACAGCGCCTCCGACCACATTTTCGGATCAAGCTTAAACTGTCTCTTAGTGATGGACTGTGTCATCCCCATGGCCTCTGCAATGGATTAGTCCACTGAGACAGGCACTAATCAGACAGGTGTCTTGTGCACCATGGATTTTTTTCTCTCTTGACTGCTTGACTAAAGAAATCTCAGTCGACCAACAGCCTATAGACCAAACAATTGACCAGTCGACTAAGCGGGGTCAGCCCTACTGCATGACTGTTAGTGGCTTTGGATAAAAGCGTCTGCTAAATGGCATATATTATTATAATAATGCCATGTATGACTCAATAATGGCTAATGGCTTCTTATGTCTAGTGAATATGATGGTGTCAAATCTTCAATTCACAAACAACCAACCAGGCATTTGTATCCAATTGATTACAGGTTAGACCAGTAACAGAGAGAGGGGGTGGGGACTAGAAGAAAAACAACCATACTTGCGTCATGGGAGCATAACATTAACAGTAAAAATAAAAACTCACCTAAAAGAAACCTTGGGTGGATCATGTCTTTCCTTTTCCCCATTTAAACGACTGTATGTCAGACAAAACAAGCAAAGGTGTTCTGCAAGTTTACATCCCAGCACGGTCGTTGGCCTTGATCTAGCTATATGCGGAAGAGTCGTGTTATCAAACGCATTAGCTGAAGCGATTGTTCCTCGACGCACGAGCAACCTTCTCGAGAGTTTTCACACGATTTGATAGCCTGGTAAATTGCAAATATTAAACTTTGCTAACGAACGCCTTTGCAAGCACATTTGCTGTGACAAAATACAACTGACTAGCTAGCTAGCTGGAATGATTAGCTAGCTACTGTAACTAACATCCTTTAGATACATTAGTTGCTCACAAATCAATGATTCACGGTGCGGATGCAGCTGCTTTCCTTCGGTTAAGTTGCTAGTTATTTGTACAAACGGGACAGTAATGATTGAGTCATTATTTGAAAATACACAAGACAGAGAAATCAAAACAAATAGCTAGCTAGCTACGTGCAAGCAGCAAGGGAATCTTTTCCTCGCGGCTTTCAATACGATTATTTACGTGTATTCGGGTACGCTGCTACCACCAACCGGTGCGGCGGTGGAAGTACTGTCTAGCCTTGACTGTTACATTGATCAGATTCATTAATAAATTATCGGATATCATTTGTTTCGATTTTATTATCAGGGATTCTTTTATTTTTTTTATCTTCATGCAGTTAGTTGATTTACATAGAATTACTTGTACAGTAATCTCAAAATGATATTATTATTATTCTGACCCCTGGGTAATGAAGTCCACACGCTCCAGTGGACAATTGCCAGTGAAAACGACCTTATCCAGTAGCCACAGTACGTGTAAGCGTAAAATACGCAAGGTCAGTCCAAAAAACAAACGTGGTTGTAACGTTAATCGGTTGATGGTCTGCTCAAATGTATTCCTATGATACGATTTTTGTGCACGGTTTCAGTCTTAATCCGTGCATTATTGTTCTTTATTTTATTTATTTGTTATTGTTTTTGGGGGGGTTAGATCAGCTTTCATATTGCAGATAGATTGTGGCTTCCATCAATGTAATGGTCTGCATCATTTTCTATCGCCCATATTTTTTTGTAAATATATATAAAATATATATATATTTTTTTATATATATTTTCCTTTATTATTTTCCTCTAACCCTACCATCCCTCCCCTAATTGGAGTAAACTAATGTACAACAACTCTTAGGCTTCTACTTCCAGCTTATTCATACTATATACATTTTACGGACACAGTATATTTTACATAGTTATCTTTTGTTTGTTTTTAGTCCCATCCTTCAGCTCCACTCAACCCCTCCCACCTATCTCTGAACACCATCCAGTTTTGATTTATATTTGCCATATCTTTTTCAGCTGTGCTGTGATGTTTCACAAAAGTTCTGAACCTTTCTATTTTCATAGATTCTACATGTAAATTAAAGATAAACATTTTGGCTAAGAGTTGTCTTATATTATTGATCGATTGACTATTACTTTTTAAATCACCAAGCAGTGCTATTTGCAGAGTTAGCTCCAAATAAATGTTGCAATTCTTCAGCCATTCTTGAACCTGCGACCAAAAACAAGCTACATATGGACAGTACCAAAACAAATGATCTAATGATTCTGTCTCTTCGCAGAAAATTCCTCAGAGCTGGGGTGGTTGTATTGGTTGCAATAATTTTGTATAATATAAGTTTTTAATCCAGCGTTGTTTTGTGTATCAGTTCATAAAACATGTGCAGTGGAATCGGTACATTGAAAATCTCTTCCCAACTATTTTGCAATCTATATGGCACAGCTGTCAATTTTTTGGTCCTTAAATTAAACTGGTATACTTATCACAATTTTCTTTAGCCAATTTTGCTCTTTAATGCAGGGCCAACAGACAAGTTCCTTACTTTCTCCCACTTCTACTTGCCTCCTCCATTTTTGCTGTAATGCTGTAATTAGTTGGTTGTAATTTGAGTAGAGCAGACATTTCCATATATGTTTGTTAGCTGCATGTGAGACATAACACCACCATATTGCTTTTTTATCTATTAGTATATTTGAGTTTAACCATAATATTTGTTGTAATATTTGTTCTGTCTTTTCTGGTGTATTAAACTGAAATTGCAACCAACTTCCTATGGCTTGTTTTAAGAATAGTGATATTTTGGAGATTATTTCATTTTCAAATAACCGAAAGTGAGAGGTTGTAATCTGAATAAAGGGAAAAAGGCCATTCTTGAACATGGGGTGAGACATTCTTACAAATCTGCTGGAGAACCAGTTCGGATTTAAGTATAACTTTTTAATGACTGAAGCCATTAGCGAGAGGTTTAATGCTTTAATATTTAATAATTTCTGCCCTCCAAATTCATATTCATTATATAAATAGGCCCATTTAATTTTGTCTGGCATAAGGTTCTTATTTGTTTGTATATAGAGCTCGCCAGTTTGTAGTCCTAAAACCCGGAAATAAGTTACCTCTGGTTTGCTCAGCAATTCCTCTGTCGAAAATGAATGGAGCCTGTATTAGGCTATAAGCAAACAAGAAAATGCTCATCCAGAAGTGGCGCACCTAGTGGCCGGGGACTTTAATACAGGCAAACTTAAATCCGTTTAACCTAATTTCTACCAGCAACCAGAGGGAAAAAAACTCTAGACCACCTTTACTTCACACAGAGAGACTTATACAAAGCTCTCCCTCGCCCTCCATTTGGCAACTCTGACCATAATTCTATCTTCCTGATTCCTGCTTACAAGCAAAACCTAAAGCAGAAAGTCCCAGTGACTCGCTCATTACGGAAGTGGTCAGATGACGCGGATGCTACGCTACAGGACTGTTTTGCTAGCATAGACTGGAATATGTTCAGGGATTCATCCAAATGTATACCACCTCAGTCATCGTCTTCATCAATAAGTGCATCGACGAGGTCGTCCCCACAGTGACCGTATGTACATTTCCCAACCAGAAGCCATGGATTACAGGCAAAATCCGCACCGAGCTAAAGGCTAGAGCTGCCGCTTTCAAGAAGTGGGACACTTATAAGAAATCCTGTTACGCCCTCAGATGAACCATCAAACAGGCAAAGCGTCAATACAGGACTAAAATTGAATCCTACTACACAGGCTCTGACACTCGTCGGATGTGGCAGGGCTTGCAAACTATTACAGACTACAAAGGGAAACCAAGCCGCGAGCTGCCCAGTGACGGGAGCCTACCAGACTAGCTAAATGCCTTTTATGCTCGCTTTGAGGCAAACAACACTGAAGCATGCATGAGAGCACCAGCTGTTCCAGACGACTGTGTGATCACGCTGTCCGTAGCCGATGTGAGCAAGACCTTTAAACAGGTCAACATTCACAAAGCCGCGGGGCCAGACGGATTACCAGGACGTGTACTCAAAGCATGCGCGGACCAACTGGCAAGTGTCTTCACTGACATTTTCAACCTCTCCCTGACCGAGTCTGTAATACCTACATGTTTCAAGCAGACCACCATAGTCCCTGTGCCCAAAGAAGCGAAGGTAACCTGCCTAAATGACTACCGCCCGTAGCACTGACATCAGTAGCCATGAAGTGCTTTGAATGGCTGGTCATGGCTCACATCAACACCATCATCCCGGAAACCCTAGACCCACTCCAATTCGCATACCGCCCCAACAGATCCACAGATGACGCAATCTCAATCGCACTCCACTCCACATTATAAAAAAATTGAAAGAATATGGCACCACAACAAACCTGCCAAGAGAGGGCCACCCACCAAAACGCACGGACCAGGCAAGGAGGGCATTAATCAGAGAGGCAACAAAGAGACCAAAGATAACCCTGAAGGAGCTGCAAAGATCCACAGCGGAGATTGGAGTATCTGTCCATAGGCCAACTTTAAGCCGTACACTCCACAGAGCTGGGCTTTACGGAGTGGCCAGACAAAAGCCATTGCTTAAAGAAAAAAATAAGCTAACAAATCAAATCAAATCAAATTGTATTGGTCACATGCGCCGAATACAACAGGTGCAGACATTACAGTGAAATGCTTACTTACAGCCCTTAACCAACAGTGCATTTATTTTAAACAAAAAAAAGTAAAAATAAAACAACAACAAAAAAAGTGTTGAGAAAAAAAAGAGCAGAAGTAAAATAAAGTGACAGTAGGGAGGCTATATATACAGGGGGGTACTGTTGCAGAGTCAATGTGCGGGGGCACCGGCTAGTTGAGGTAGTTGAGGTAATATGTACATGTGGGTAGAGATAAAGTGACTATGCATAAATAATTAACAGAGTAGCAGCAGCGTAAAAAGGATGGGTGCAAATAGTTTGCAGTGCAAATAGTCCGGGTAGCCATGATTAGCTGTTCAGGAGTCTTATGGCTTGGGGGTAGAAGCTGTTGAGAAGTCTTTTGGACCTAGACTTGGCACTCCGGTACCGCTTGCCGTGCGGTAGCAGAGAGAACAGTCTATGACTAGGGTGGCTGGAGTCTTTGACAATTTTGAGGGCCTTCCTCTGACACCGCCTGGTATAGAGTCCTGGATGGCAGGAAGCTTTGCCCCAGTGATGTACTGGGCCGTACGCACTACCCTCTGTAGTGCCTTGCGGTCAGAGGCCAAGCAGTTACCATACCAGGCGGTGATGCAACCAGTCAGGATGCTCTCGATGGTGCAGCTGTATAATTTTTTGAGGATCTGAGGACCCATGCCAAATCTTTTCAGTCTCCTGAGGGGGAATAGGCTTTGTCGTGCCCTCTTCACGACTGTCTTGGTGTGTTTGGACCATGATAGTTCGTTGGTGATGTGGACACCAAGGAACTTGAAGCTCTCAACCTGTTCCACTACAGCCCCGTCGATGAGAATGGGGGCGTGCTCAGTCCTCTTTTTTTTCCTGTAGTCCACAATCATCTCCTTTGTCTTGGTCACGTTGAGGGAGAGGTTGTTGTCCTGGCACCACACGGCCAGATCTCTGACCTCTTCCCTATAGGCTGTCTCATCGTTGTCGGTGATCAGGCCTGCCACTGTTGTGTCGTCGGCAAACTTAATGATGGTGTTGGAGTCGTGCCTGGCCATGCAGTCATGGGTGAACAGAGAGTACAGGAGGGGACTGAGCACGCACCCCTGAGGGGCCCCCGTGTTGAGGATCAGTGTGGCAGATGTGTTGTTACCTACCCTTACCACCTGGGGGCGGCCCGTCAGGAAGTCCAGGATCCAGTTGCAGAGGGAGGTGTTTAGTCCCAGGATCCTTAGCTTAGTGATGAGCTTAGAGGGCACTATGGTGTTGAATGCTGAGCTGTAGTCAATGAATAGCATTCTCACGTAGGTGTTCCTCTTGTCCAGGTGGGAAAGGGCAGTGTGGAGTGCAATAGAGATTGCATCATCTGTGGATCTGTTGGGGCGGTATGCAAATTGGAGTGGGTCTAGGGTTTCTGGGATAATGC